TGCAGGTCAAGCGCATAAAATAAAACTTCAACTAGAGTAAAAACGTAATAAATTTTCTCGTGTATCTAAATTTCAACAGATTGAATTAAGAACATGACTGATGAGTGAAAGACTTCAACTGTTGGGTCTTTACTATACATCAGAATGTTGACGTGTGCATTGATGATGAATATATCAATTAGGATTTAAGTTGATCTGCATGTGTAGTTCATTCATTCAATTAGCGTAGAAAATATTGCCTACATTCTTAAAACCACTCTCACACATCTATCACATCCTTAAGCATAATCACAAGCATTCATTTACCCAAACGCCACAAGTCAATATACTAACACCCACATCCACAGATAACTGTAAATTTGGCTCAACAGCATCAGGATAGTACAATAAAATTTCTCAAGTTCGAATATGCTCTTCACCGAAATAGAAAAAAGATTTAACAATTAAAATAAGTTCGCAAAAAGTTTGTTTCGGGTTACCCTAGTCAACTCTCCCTAGAAGAATCCCCAGGGAGTCCCCTGACAAATCCCCGAGGACTCACGACAGGGAGTTTCTAGGGATTTCGTTCTTTTGCGGGGACTCCATGGGGACTTCCCGGGGAGTTATCTGATCAAAATCGATGAAATATCTAATTACTAATAAATTCTTCTTAATTTTTTAAAAATTAAAAAAATTAAAATTTTTTTTTTATTTTAAAAAATTTCATCAATTCTCCTCAGAGAAGTCCCCGGGGAGTCCCCTAAATAAAAAGTCCCCGGGGACTCACGACAGGGACTCCCCAGGGATTTCGTTATTTTACGGGGACTCCCCGGGGGGTCGTTGGGGGAGAGTCGATTAGGGTCGAAGAAACGTGTTGTCCATAAAGCGTTTAAAGTTCCTTTCTAGCGTTATAAATTGAAAAGAATACGTTTCAAAGCGATCGAAAAAGTGCGCCTTATGTCTAACGAAAATATGTAAACTGAATAAAGCACGCGTTCGAACACACATTTCAGTGAATTATTTTCGTGGGCGTAGTGAATAATACTTTTATGGAAGCGAATTTACAATGACAGTGTACTGGATTTCGAATGTTAGACGATTTGGGGAATGAATTACAGTACTGTATTTATGATTTCTCATTAGAATACTGCAGTTCTTTTATTTATTGTAACTGAAAAGGGGAGCAAAAAATACAGGATATTATTGATAAATAAAATGAATGGAGAGAATTGAGGCGCATAAGTAAGAAGCAGTTGTGATCATTTTAGTCTAATAAAGCATCAAATTGAATATTCAAGCGACTAAGTTGCGTCCGAAGTACCCAATTAGCGCAAGTGTAAGAGTCGTCACGAATCCAGCTTGTGGAATACCGGCGGCACCGCATACACTACAAAATACGACAACATTGGAAAATTATGAATATTACCAGTTTAACATGAGTATTGAAACAACTACTACCATCATTCGTTTTCAAAAACATCCTCGCTCGCGACGTCACAAGAAGAATTTACAGAGGATATATTAGCAAAAGATCAGTTTTACAAGAGTGAGAAACACAGATTGTGGATGTTGAAAAGAGTTTACATGGAGGATTCAACTGTGATGAGTCTGCAGTTATTATGTCCAAAATGTCTTTATTTGATGATCTTACCCCGTAATACTGCCACTACACGAAGGTACAATTTGGCATGCACTGTTGCATATGAGTGTTGTGCAACTACTCAATGTTGCTCCAGTGCTAATAGAATAAATACCAGAGCAGTAGCACGCACATGAATATAGACCGTTGGATGAGCCGAAAAGTGCCATCATGACAATGAAGAGAAAGCCCATCGAAGTAACGGAAGCCATGCTATTTTTATTCGTCTAGAGTATAAATATAAAATGATTATTTTATGAGATTTTCAGGCAAATAACTCATCAATCCGATAACGTAAGAAAAAATCTTTCCAACATACGACTTAAGACACAAACTATGCAAGGATTTATTAATCGGAAAGATTTCCATGAAGGTTTTTGTATGACTGGCAAATGCGAAAGGATGCATGAACAAGCGAGCGGCTCGCTATTCTATGGCACTTTTTCATCTAAACTGTGATGCCCATTAACAATCACGAGTTTTTATACCAAAAAAGAATCCCCCGGTGCTAGCAGAAATTCACAGTTGCTTGAATGATTACTCATACCAGCTGAATTCACATCATCGACCAAATTATAGGAAACCTTATATAAACTTTATTACAATAACTCAGCCGCTTATTTCTCCTAAACCGTATATTTATATAACATGCTAACATGCTTCGGGGACTACAGTCTCTTTTTTTTCTTCTTCTTCTTCTTCGTGCTTGTGTTCTCCCTCTTTTTTTTATTCCGTAACCTTGGATCAGCACATAAATGAGATCCCGAGAAAGATTGAGGGTATGGGTGTGGGTGTTCGCAAAAAGGAATCTTCATCCACACCCACAGTCACACAGAAATTTTCTGAACTTATTTTGTGTAATATTATCTAAAGTGATCGCGTTTCGGTAAAAGATAATTTTTATTTATACATAAAATTAAAAAATCTGGCGTAGAAGTTTAATTAAATAGCGCCTTCGAATGATCATAAACGTGTAGAATATTACGTCTCAATCATATGGCTCAATGGTTCTGGCGTTGGGTCAGTAGCACATCGTGTACATATTCGAATCTAACCTTCATCTTTAAATAATTCCATTCAGACTAATCCAGACTGGTCCACTATATGTAGATACCATTGGTTCTATAGTCGCCCCAGATGTCCTTAATTTTCCATCTATAAACCACTTCGGACGGGCGACAGGGACGCTCGTCGCGACTACTCTTATCAGGTTTCAAGACTACTCGTCAATTAAAGTAGTAGAACGGATACACATGACGGTCAAAAGCTAGCACTAGTCCCAGACGAGGACTTTTTGAAACAAAGACTAGTCAGGGCGGTCGACACGACTAGAAAAAAGACTCGTCATTTAATTCGTCTTCTTCTCACTTTGGAGAGTTTCCTTAATGTTTCAACTGGCTTACATCCATATAAATGTTGAACTGATGTGAAAAATACATTTTTTTTAGAACGAGTGCTACTACAGTATCACGCATCTTATTGATTTTTATGACGAATTTGAACGAATAGATATAGATACAACTTCAAATGTTACACATTTTCATTGATTTTGGATGAGAGAAAACTTGCATTTCAATTAAATATTTTTGATTCTCAATAGAAAATTTAATGGGAGGCGGTCATTTGCTCGCAGGACAATTGCTTGCGGACGTTGCTCGTGCTGCTAGTCACAGTGAGCAAGAGCAACTATCCTAAACCCAAGTTAACAGAGTCAATAAATATAACCGAAAAATAGACTTTATTGGCTTGGTAAATGTCCCAGTCTATATTGCCGAAAGCTACAATCCATGTCTGTAAAATTTGTCTCACTCATTATATCTAATTGAAATGAGCATTTAACCACAATAGTAATAGCTATATCAAGATCATGTTCATAACTATTATCAGCTCAAAATATTTTGAAATGAAAACTAAAAATTAGTCTGTTGTGGATATTATATATGACTAGGAATGCAACTTTAACGATCATTTGTCTTATTGGTCAAAGTTACATCAATAAACTATATTAAACAGTATAGACCTTCACAGTGGTATGAATTTCGGGGAATAAGAAATTGTCATGCTCTATTTAGACAACTTATCTATTTTGAATTTTGCACGTTGAACAAGAGTTCGCTACTCTGAAATTTATTGTTCAGTAATTTTGTGAAACTCGATCTGAAAGGAGTGTTGAAGTGTATAGAGTAGAAATTTGGACCCATCTCCCACCCCGCCCCCAGACCGTTACATAGAAATTAATTATTTTATTATTTTCTCTGTCACGGTCTGTGATTGTTTCTGAATTTTTATATTTTGTTTCAATAGACAACTCATGTACTATTTATATCATAAATTTCAAAGAAACCTCTGTAGTTTATGCGATATTGTTTACACGAACTTTAAATTATTTGAGTTTGCACAAAAAATACATATGTAGTAATACGAAACAATCATCTTGATATACTTCGACAACATTTTTTGCTGAAAATCACATTAGCATATCTTGTAGTATGAACTAATTGTATACTATCTAAGTTGCCTCCATGAGTTTACTTACATCAACTAATTATATCGTCTATTGCACTTTTAATCCCAGAGGGATGACGCTAACAGCTTTTCTGTTTAGAGGCTATATTTAGCTCAATGCTAAAAATATTGAATATTTATCAAACAGTATTTAAGAGAATGATTCCCGATGAAACTTTCAATTGTGTATTTGTTCTAGTGATAGATTGATAAGAAAGAAGCCCTTTTATTTTACTGTCTCATGATTTATCTAACAATATCATAAGTCCAGTCGTCAAAAAAAAACGCAAGAATATTGGGTCATATGTGCCACACATTTTTTATTTATTTGTCTGACGATGGAATAAAACCATAGTATCTATCTTGACGTCCCTGCCATTTTTGAACAATTCGCGCAGCCTGATCTTCACTAATGGCTTCATCTTCCAACAGATCATAATTTGTTTCAGATATTGTTTCGATGTGTGTGTAAGGAGTCGAAGTAGCTTTCGATTGTTGCTGAAATAGAATTCTCATTTCTGTCATATCAGGACATTTTGCGTATCCATCTGTAGCAGTCGATGTTAAGGCTCCATTAGCATTTTTCATTTGTTTTGAACGTATGTTTTTGGAAGAAAACATGTCACGAAGTCGTTTAGATTTGACTTTTTCATCGGCTCCTTCAGCTTCAGCATTGTTCATTTCACGATCAATATCTGGTAAGGCATCTCGCATTAAGCGATCTAGTGATATTTCCTCACGAACTCCACCAACAATCACTTTTGCTAAAAGTTGAGCATTTACCATTGGAACATATTGTCCACCAGTAATATAAGCTAATGCCATAAAAAAATCACGATAAGGAACTAAAAAGAATCGAAAATAATTGAATTTCAAAATTCATATAATACCATTGCTGACATACCGATAGATGGTTCGGCACCAACTGAATAGAGTGTGATATGTTTTTCAGCCATATCTCGAACGATTCTTGCTGGATCATGACCAGCTGGACATCCATTTGGAAAGGTATCGCCGTTTTGATCGAGTCCATGTGGTGGCGCATCGGATATAAGTATGCAAATTTTAGTAGATTCAGGACGCCATGATAATTTAAGCACAGCGGCAAGAGCATCAGCAACTGCTTCCGGTAGATCACCACCACCTTCAGCATTGCAATCTTCCAACCAGCTTGTCATTTCATCTATGTTGCTAGTTAAGTCATGTACACGTGTAACAAAAGTGGCATCCTAATTAAATAAGGACTCATCAGTGTTATGATCTCTGTTTGTTAACTATCACTGACCTGTGGTGGATGATCTCTGTATTCGATAAGTGCCAAACGAATATCACTCTTTTCGTTTGCGACAATTTCTGTGATAATCGAACAAATATTATTCTTGGCACTTTGTATGTACGGTGCCATAGAACTAGTGGAGTCAATTGTAAAGACAAGGTCTGAATAAAAATTTTTGTCAATAATTGAACAAAATATTAATGAAAGAATTACCGAGAATGGACGAATCATGTTTAGCTAACGCGGGTCGATCAGGTTTTTTAATTTGAAGAGATGTTGTCATTGTAAGATGAGTGTTATTTACGTCTGTAAAAGAAAAGGACTGCATGATAATACAAGGTAGCCACCTTTTATATACTTTTTGGCCTGTTTTTCATCATTATGTTCGATTTGGCGCAAGTTTTTCTTTCTTCCTACTGACTCATATCATATAATATGTCAATGGAAAATTATACAATACGACCGAAAGCGGTTTTCTAGTTATCTCACTCTAAAACAAATCAAGACACACGAAGTGTATAAGCAAGACGATTCATACATTTAGATAAGATACTTCAAGTATCAACGGATAACCGATTTTAGACACTGGCATGTCTTCATTTTTCCTGATTGGATCATTTCCACCAGTATAAACTAACGTCTAGAAAAGACAGATCTTATAAAAAAAATGAACAAAGCGGCGCTCTTGAAAAGAAAATTCAATTTCAAAATCGAATCAGTATTTTTAGTCTATTGCATGTCTAATTTATTATTCTATATAACCATTTTAGACATGAAACGAGATCTTTAAATACTGAAAAAAAACTTAACTCAGAAAAAATGTCGCTAGAATCTAAAAAAATAGAATTTTTTAAATTTCTTAACTTTCGATCAGAGTTTACAGTCATTTTTCAGAAGAAAATGACTGATATTCGTATGCACGACAACAAGAAGTGTATTGCCTGTTCAACATTTATAAAAGAAAAATAATATTAATATCTAGATGATATAAGGTCTGAAACTTTCAGTCTGAAAGTTTAAACATCAAAGAAAAAAATACATTACTATCTTGGTTTTCAAAAAAAATGATTAAACTAACGAAAAAAAATGAACAAAAAGACGAGAAAGAAAGAAAGTAACTAAATGTAGACGAATGGCTAACCGTAGTGACCACGGGAAGGCTCATGAAATAATTAAGACGCGTTCCCGTATAAGTTACATACATGTCTAAAAACAAGGCACATTTCGCGTGTAGTACGTGTCTGAGTAAGACTTAAGACGGATGAAACGTCTCGTAAGATACATGGCGTTTCTTACAGTGAAAACAATCAAAGGTGTTTCCATTGTCCAACGCACTCACACCCTCCAGATAGTGAACGGATAACAAAGTCTTCTAAATCTGACTATGTGCGACATCTTTACTTGTTTCATATAATTTGTGATTATTTTAATGCAATCGGATAATACAATACACTGGTTTCCCGTACACTCATACAGGTAAGAAGCAAGTTTTTCTCTTTTACAGTAATCATTTATCTGGTGATGAAAGAGAAGATGACACAGTCCGACATATTCTATTCTATCTAGTAAATCAATAGAGTATCGTTTTATCTTTAGAAGAATAGCAACAACGACAATAACAATGATTGAAACGTCAATAGACAGTATACCCAATATATTTCAAGATCTTCGCGCATCATTTAATGCGGGCAAAACAAAATCATTAGCATGGCGTAAAAAACAACTCGAACAATTATTTAAAATGTGTGATGAACAAAAGGAAGTTTTTGCTTCAGCAGCATATGCTGATTTTCATCGACCAACTGCAGAAACACTTTTATTTGATTGTGGTGTCGTAAGTTTTACTTTCGTTCTGCAAATTTCTATAGATATCTATCCTTGTTATAGATTCGTAACGAATGTATTCATGTTCTTAATCATATCGATGAATGGGCACGTGATGAATCTCGTTCAGATTCATTAGCATATGCTACAATGGATAAATATATTCATCCTGAACCATTTGGTATTTGTTTAATTATTGGAGCATGGAATTATCCATTTTTGTTAACATTATCACCATTAGTTGGTGCAATAGCTGCTGGTAATTGTGTTGTTCTTAAGCCATCAGAATTAGCACCGAATTCAGCTGCTATTACTGCAACCATGGTCGAACGTTACCTTGACCCATCCTGTATTCGTGTTGTACTCGGTGCTGTTGATCAAACTCAAACATTACTTAAAGGTGACATTAATCATATATTTTATACTGGTTCAACATCAGTTGGTAAACTCATCATGAAAGCAGCCGCAGAAAAAATGGTACCTGTGATACTTGAATGTGGTGGTAAAAGTCCAGTTTATATTGCTGATGATGCTAATATTGCAGTTACTGCTAAACGTATTGCATGGGGAAAGACAATTAATTGTGGGCAAACATGGTAACGTATTTTCAAAATTTATTTAGATTAAAAAAACTAGAGATTCTAATGAATCGTATTATTTTAGTGTTGCACCTGATTATATTCTCTGTTCGAAAACAACAGAAAGTCGTCTTATACCAGAGATAGTCAAAGCTTGGCAATCATTTTACACCGACAATCCATCGAATTCTGATTCTTATTGTCATATTGTTAATGATCGTCATTTTGAACGTGTAAAAAGATTAATCGATTCAACAAAAGTTGTTTATGGTGGTCAAACAGATGCTAAACAAAACTTTATTGAACCAACAATTATGTAAAAAAAAGAAAGAAAGAAAGAAAAAAGTAAATCTAAATTTTTTTTTATTTCTCAGGACAAATGTCAATGGAAACGATAAAGTCATGCAAGAAGAAATCTTCGGACCCATTCTTCCAATCGTAACAGTGAATAATGAAAATGAAGCTATTGAATTTATTAATGCTCGGCCAAAACCATTAGCTCTTTATGTATTTACATCGAATAATAATTTAGCTAAAACTATTATTAATTCAACAAGTTCTGGTTCAACTTGTGTCAATGATGTTATCTTTCAAATAGCTCCACCATGTTTACCATTTGGTGGTGTCGGTGAAAGTGGTATCGGAAATTATCATGGCAAAAATTCATTTGATGCATTCAGTCATTCACGTTCAGTTGCTTATTCGCCTACATGGGCAGAACGTCTTATTGCTAAACGTAACCCACCGTATACGCAGAAAAAAACAGCTAGCTTAGAATCACTTACAAAGGGTCATAGAAATTGGTTACCAATACCTCGACTTGGTTTCTGGTTTTGGGCATTTGCTGCTTTGGCTACAGCAATCGCAACACGTGTCATTACTCGTGGCATCAAAAATAACATATGGGACCTTTAATTTTATTTATTAATTTTTTATCGAAACTATGCCTCTCTTGTCCTCATGAAATTTTTATCTAATTGATACAATTCATAAAAACAAATCAGACATGATCAAATTGCACTAAAATTTGCAAAGGGCAAAGTACATAATTCGTTCGTTCTTAAGAGTTTCATAAAAGAAAGATAGTGTATCTGTTTGCTTTGTCTTTTCAATGAAGGGCTCGTTGACCGGTGGCTCAACCATTTAAATTTTATTTTACTATAGAAGAAGGCAAAATATTATATCATATAAAAATGTAATTTATCGCGTCATACCATATGCCATATTTCCCATCCCTCTCTCTCTCTCTTTCTCTCGTTTTTTAATACTGAAATCAGTCGATGATAAAAAATGGCTTCTTCTGCTGTAAACAATAGTAATACTGACGAATATGATTTGGATGCTCAAGAATATTATTCTAAACAAAAAACATTAGAATTACGTGCTATTCATATTCCGTAAGTTTAGATTGTATTTGTTTTTAGTAGACTTAATTTCTATTCATAGAACTTGTACGGAGCTTTTCTATCGTGAAAATCCACTTAAAATTATTCGATGCAAAGGAACATATATGTATGATGAATTAGGCAATAAATATTTAGATTGTATTAATAATGTTGCGCAGGGTATTTCAAATCGAAAGTGTTTTCTTCCTATTTATTAATATTTTATTTTTCAGTGGGTCATTGTCATCCATATGTGAATAAACAAATCTATAAACAAATGTGTTTATGTGCAACAAACAATCGTTATTTACACGATAATACTGTTATTCTTGCTGAGAAAATTTCGAAAACATTACCAAAAGGTCTTGAACAAGTGTTTTATACAAATTCAGCGTAACCGAACAAATTTTTTATTCTTTCGAAAAATTTAATTTCCTCTTCGTTTAGATCTGAGGCGAATGATTTAGCCATTCGCTTAGCTCGTGAATATACCGGAGCTTTTGATATTCTTGTACTTGATAAGTAAGCTGAGAAAAGTGATTGACACAAACGAAAAGAGAAATTTCTACTTAGTGCCTATCATGGTCATTTAATAAGTGTGGTCGAACTATCTACTTATATCTATAAAAGAATGACCAATCATGCAAAAATACCTGAACATGTTCATGTGGTGAGTAAAGATAACGTTTTTGAGGAAGAAAAATTTGTGACAATCCAGTAAGTTCTATTTTAGATTCCAACACCTGATGTGTATCGAGGAAAATTTCGCGATATTGATTATAATTATGACGAAGCTAAATTATGTCAATTGTATGTTGATGAAATTCGTCGAACTGTGGAAGAAGCTGAAGCTCGTGGTCGTCGTATAGCAATATTTTTTATTGAAACATTACAATCGTGTGGCGGACAAATTATTTATCCAAAAGGATACCTTAAAAAAACATTCGAGTAAATAAATTGATTATTTTGTCATTTTCGTTTTCGTTTGAATTATTAGTTACCTTCAATCCAAAGGTATTTTATGTCTTGCTGATGAAGTACAAACAGGTTTCGGTAGAAGTGGTACACATTTTTGGTCATTTGACTCCTATGAAGAAGGTGTGATTCCTGATTTTGTTACATTGGGCAAATCGATGGGTAATGGATTTCCTGTTGCTGCATTAGTCACACGTAAAGATATTACGAGTAAATTCGATGAAGATGGTGTGGAATATTTTAATACCTATGGTGGTAATCCTGTTAGTTGCCGTGCAGCTATTGCTGTTCTTGAAGTTATTGAAAACGAACATTTACAAGAAAGTGCCTATACAGTTGGCCTGTATTTTTTGAGTAAATTAAAAGAACTCGAGAAAAAATATACACTTATTGGTGATGTACGCGGTCGAGGACTATTTGTCGGTATTGAAATTGTCAGCGATCGAGAAAAACGTACACCGGGCATTGAAGAAGCCAAAGAAATCAGACAGAAGTATGCGCTTTTTGTTAAAATTAATTAAGATATTGAATCGATTTATTTTAGATTTCGTGAAAACTTCGTAATCATCTCACTTGATGGACCTGATTATAATGTGGTTAAATTTAAATCGTAAAAATATTATTTTTTTCGTTTTTTTTTTCTCAAAACGAGATCTTTTTCTTTTAGACCGATGACTTTTTCAATAGAAGATGTCGATTATTTTTGTAGTACACTAGAGAAAATACTCAAAGATATGGAAAAAAAATAAGTAAGAAACATAATCTTTGATGTTTACTGTTCTTTCTTGTTGGTGATGGTTATTCTTTTTTTTTGTCTGTAACTGGGTAAGGAAAATTCAAAATATGATAAATAAATAGATAATTGTCATACATATTTTGTGTCCTATCACATATTATATCTGACTCTTTTATTTATAAATAAAGTCAATCAATCGAAATAACCTAGCAAATATCTCGAATCATCAACAATAAAACGATACCATAAAATAGGTAAAAACATGGTCGAAAGATGCCACAACGAATGTGCATCAATCAGCCAAAAGATCGGTGGAAAATCAGCTAATTCTAACGCAACAAAAGCCATTGTTAACGCAACGGATAATGCACATCGCCAAACATAAACTTTTCCGGCAAGAAAATTCACTACACTCCATAGGAGCCAACATATCACATTGAGAAGACCAATAACAATATTTACTTTCATATTGTAACCAAAATCCATTTTAATAAAAAGTAAATAATAAGCATGATAAAGAAAAAAAATGAAGATCGATAACGTTGCCAATTTTGCTAAACGCATATATTTTGTTCGATAGCCAACACGAATAATACAACATGCAAATTGCGCAAAAACAAGAGAAAGAGCACCGATATAATCAAACGTTTCTGTTAATGGTTTATCACGTGCGTGAAATATAGTTGACCATACCCATGCGTTCATCGATATCAAACAGAATATTATCCACATTGAATAAAGTGGATGCAAACCGTATCTGAGCGAACGTCGAAGTACTCGATAGCCAAATATATAATTTGAGAGTAAATTTAGTATGGAAAATAATGTCGATGCAGGCTCTTGAATACCCAGCAAACGGGTAAATGGCCATTTGCCTAAAATCAAAAATTTTGATCATTTTATTTTTGATGGTTCATTTCATACCATGAAATTGTACAATAGGCTCATCTTTGTCTTCCATATTATCAACAGTTTTCCACATACATTCATAGGCACATTCATCTTGGCAGGACCATTGGAAAATATACTCAAAAAATGTTTGTTTTTCTTGAAAATCTCGTAAACCTAACGATGTACTGCAATTAATTTGCTTGCAATGGTGTAAACATGCTCGATACAAATAATGATTATCACCCGGCGATGCAAATACAAGTACATTGAATGAAAAATAAAATAGGAAATAGTAGATGAACATTATTTTGTGTCGCAAGGAAAATATTTATTTTTAATATCAATCAACCGAATCGATATTTGATTTAGACAAATCAAGTATTAGGGAGATGTCGCTTGTGAGAAAAAGTCAGTATATATTGATTGGTACAAGAAAGAACCAAAAAAACGGTTTTTTGAATACGTGTCTTTTCTATGAGATAATTTTTTTTCTTGATAAAGATTAATATTAAACGTAGACAACAATGAGTTTTTTATGGGATTGGTTTACTAGTATTTTGACAAGTTTTGGTATGTATTATTATTGATTTTAATCTTGATTTTATCGTTCGTTTCTATTGAACAGGTTTACACAAGAAAAGCGGTAAACTTGTATTTCTCGGACTTGATAATGCTGGAAAAGTAAAAAAATAATTCAAAAAAATTAAAATTTTATTTTTATCTGTTAGACAACTCTATTACACATGTTAAAAGATGATCGTCTAGCTCAACATGTACCTACGCTACATCCAAGTATGCAATCATTTCATTTTTTCTTGAAATCGAAGGAATTGCTTTTTTGTTATTTGCAGCTTCCGAAGAATTGGTTATAGGAAACATGAAATTTACAACGTTTGATCTAGGCGGTCATGCTCAAGGTGAGTAGAAAAGGTTTCACCACGTCCTATCCGAATAGGATATCAGTATTTTGTTTTAGCTCGTCGTGTCTGGAAAGATTATTTTCCAGCTGTTGATTCGGTTGTTTTTCTTGTGGACGCTGCAGATCGAAATCGTCTTGATGAAACAAAAGCAGAGCTTGATGTTCGTATTCAACATTAATCTTGTATTTTACTCTTTCTTTCTGTTTTCTACAGAGTTTATTAACCGATGAACAAGTTGCGAATGCACCTATACTGATACTCGGTAATAAAATTGATTTACCGGGAGCTGCCAGTGAACAAGAACTTCGTTATATACTTGGTATATCTACAGCTACAACAGGAAAAGTAAAGAAGAATTTTTTCGTAGGATTCTAATGATGATTATTTGCTATTCTAGGGTGTTGTACCTCGGTCGAGTTTCAATGTCCGGCCAATGGAAGTCTTTATGTGTAGTGTACTAAGACGCGAAGGTTACGGAGAAGCATTTCGATGGCTATCACAGTATTTATAAACACTTCTAGTCAATATTATTTCAGCTATTCTGTTTTTTTTCTTGGTATTTTTGTTTGTTTATATATTTTCTCTATTGGTTTATTGTCTGATTGATCAAAATGTCTATATAGCAAAGTTGAAAACAGTTTGATTAAGGATGAACATATTATTTTTTTTTCTTCACTTATATCTCGCATCTTTATGGATTTGTTTTTGTACAAAAAAAACGAACAAAAAAATAAATATATTCGTTAATATCTTGTTATAAAAATTTCTTTGAGATCAACGAATCGAAGGAAATAAAATGCCGCAGGCTTTCTATGGTCACAGCTGATAAAAATGATCGATTAGTCATTTTGTTTTATGTTGCATGAAAAAGTAAGGCAACATTCGCGTAATGAAGAATAGACAACAGATAAACATTTAATAATAGACGTTAATTTATTCTATCTAACGCCATGTATGTCTCATCGATCGATTGTTTATCTTGTATCTCTAATCCTGTTGACAAATACGAATCGATGTTTTTTGCCAACATTTTTCGATCATACAATCAAAATGATCCATTACATCTTCATCTTTTTATTACTCATCTATACAAGTTATGAATGTGAGATCTGGAAAACATCCGATTGTCCTCCGGGACCAACAAAAGAAGATGAAGATTTCATGAGATTAGAAACCTATACAAAAGAACAATTGTTTACATTTTGTGATGCCGGTAAAACCTATGCCGATTGTATCAATGAACGTTTACATTGTTGTGATATGCGTGTAGAATATGCAACAACATTAGCATCATTAGATGCACAACTTAAACGTATCGTATGGCGTGTGGGAAAATATTGTACTGGAATAACGGAAACAAGCATGATACATTATCGATGTTTAACAACACATGGATCACTTTTGAGTACAACCGTACGAACAACAACTACACCAATGCCAATGTGTGATATTGAAAATGTAGGAGAAAATAAATTTCTAACTATAAAAATTTTCCTTTGAAATCATTCCTTTAGGCTGGTAGAGTATGTAGTCCGATGATACAAAATCGTGTTCATTTCGAATCTCATTGGTCGGTTTATGAAAAAGCAAAATGGTGTAAAGATGCCTATGATTATTATACATGTGCATTAGCATATATAACAAATTGTACAACACTATCGATTGTTAATGAAATCGATCAATTGACATTGTTTTTGGATTTTATAGAAAAATCTGCTAATCGTGAATGTCCCGGTGGTCTATACGGTTGTGGAGTTAATGCTCATAGTGATATGCGTTGTCGTGCTGGTGCAAAGTATTTTCTTGATAAAAATGCATTTACTGATTGTACTCTCCTATGCCAACCATCATCAATTACTTTCGTTTTTGTATTTTTCTGTTTCACCATTCTGTCAAATTAGTGCGTTCATCTTTTGTCACGCTTTTTGCTTTTTTTTCGTATATGTAAAAGAAAAAACCGTGTCACTATAAAATTATTAAACTAATAATATTGCCGTCATATATATTATGTTTACATTGAATACTCCTTCGCATAATAGATACGCATATATAAAGTGGATGCTTTTTTGCCACTTGTAAACGAGAAAAAAATTGAATCGCGGCGTAACATACAGCTAGGCACAATAGGAATGTATAACGTTTACTATGCTTGGACTAGGAAAAACTTCGCCAATAACTGGTAAGGTTCAATCGTTAATATCTCGATATCGATTATTTATTATCTTGATCTTGATGGTTATCTTGAAACTGGAAAACTATTGTATATTGATGGAGTATTTTTATCTTTTTTTCTTCAGTTAATCAAACATCTATTGAATTTTACAACGGTTTCAAGACCTTACAATCAACCGGTCATTGTCTTTCACTGACTGAAAAATCAAATAAAAAACAAGACTATTTTCCATTTCGATCTGCTAGATATCAAAGTATGAATAATAACAAATCTTCATCCAATGATTGGCAATCATATTATTTGAGATCGAATTCAAATAAATCATACCTGAAAAATAATGTCAGTATCGATGATGAACAAAACACTCAAGAATACCGGCGATTTCGAAAAGCTACGAATCAATTGTCAGCAAAAGTAAGTATTCGGAGCGTGAGATTTATATACTCAGCTAGTAACAAAAGAATGTATTTTTTACATCGATTTCGATAGTGATAAGAAAAAAGTCATGAGTGATAATTTTCTATTAATTAACATCAATCGATTGATTAGTTGATGAATGCATTTCAAAAAAGAATTTCTCTTTTTAGACGTCGATGGATCAAAATTCTGAAGTTGTTTTTCCATGTTACTTAGCAATGGCAAATAAAAATAAAAATGAATATTCAAGATATAAAGATTCTCGAGTAAGTTTTAGAATTCTATATTCTTTATTTATTGCTCATTACAATTATGTAGTTTTTACAAAGAAAACCAAACAATGCATTTGATAGTACACAACCGAAAGCTCATAAAAAATGTCGATCGTCTCTCTATTCTGTTGATGTTAAGGTTAATCAGTAGATATATATATATATATATATATAATTGTATATACAATCCTTAATTTTTATTCTACAGCGTTTTCCTGTTCCTGACGAGAAAGTTTTTTGGCATACTACATTTCTTGATTATTTTCCCAATGAATACACAACCGAGAAAGTACAACGTAATCCAAGGGCAGATCCCTGTGATCCGTAAATAAAATTTATTCTATAATATGATGTAGAAAAAAAATTATACGTGTGATTCTTCTTTTTAGATCGGAAATAAATAAATTTAATCAACTTGATACGAAAATTGATCGAAGAAGTTTTACAGGACATTATTATGTTGATCCAATAACAAATCGACCAAGAAATCCAATAGGAAGAACAGGAAGTAAGGAGAATGATTTGATTTTAAAATCGAAGACACTGCTCTAAATTAGTAACTGGTCGTGGTCGTCTATATTATTGGGGTCCAAATCATGCTGGTGATTCAGTGATTACTCGGTAAAATACATAATATTTCCCTTCTGTTAAAACTGACCAATTTTATTTTTAGTTGGCATCATGATGAAAAGGGTACTATTGTTCGTCGTCAAGCCAACTGCCAGGATTGTTTTAAACCTGTTCTCGAATTTGTGACTATTCAAAGAAAAGATACAAAAGAATGGGCTTTACCAGGAGTAAGAATTCTGTGACAAATAGTTCGATTTTTTTTAAAGCAAAAAGTTCTGAGTCTTCTTTTTATTTTTACCCTTAAGGTTTACATTTTTGTGCTAATTTGATTATTCTCTTGTATTTTGAAAGGGTATGGTTGATCCTGGTGAGCATATATCTAGTACAGTAAAACGTGAATTTCAAGAAGAAGCCATGCAAGATGGTATTGAAGAACATTATATAAGTAAATTGTTTTCCAATGGATATAAACTATTTGAGTGGTACGCTGATGATCCAAGAAATACAGATAATGCTTGGATCGAAACAGTTGCTATGTAAGTTAAAATAAAAATTAACTTCATAAAATAATTATTTTCATTTTAGAAATTTTCACGATGAAACAGGTCAATTAACTAAACATATTCATTTGGATGCAGGTAGAAATTTATTTCTTATAAGAAATTTTTATGCTTATAGGATTTTTGTTTCTTAATCAGGTGATGATGCAACAAACGTTGCTTGGCGACCCATTGATAGAAACATTGACTTATATGCCTCTCATAAAGAGATTCTTAAAAGAGTTGTCGATCGATTTGATGCATATTGGTAACATTGAATGACGTACAATGGATACATTTTACAAGCAAAAGAATAACATCAACTATTTAATTATTCACTTTGAACGATATTAAACAAACAGATGATCTAAATTTATTTATATTTTTTTTTCTACTGGTATAGTGGCCAATTTTAGCATTGATAGAATTCAATTCTTATTGAAAAACTAAAATCAATAGTTTTAATAGATTTATATTGTAAAAAGTTGCTATTTCTATTTGTTAACTTGTGATTAAACAACTTTCATCGAAACCTGCTATTTTGGGTGTGGGTGTGGGTGTTGCCGTAAGTATGGGCGTGGATGTCAGTGTGGGTGCACTGAATTCTGGAACCGTTGGGAAGTAGGCGGAATCCGTAGAAATTCCGGGAATTCCGGAATTGAATCGGAAGGGATAAACCGAATTCCGGGAATTAAATGGAATTGGTTCCGGAATGTTCAACGTTGCGGAATAGGATGTATTCTCGGTGTGTGATAACAAGACCGAGACCTGTCACAGACAGCAACACTCTAGGTTTCGTATCGATGGGCAACTCCTTCGAAAACTTTCCCATTTCAACTAAGAATTCGACACCCGTTTTGTCAGTGAACAGTTGCTAGTGAATTCTGCGTTGGCCTCTTTTGCTTTCCTGCATAACTTGACTTTCAAGGTGAACAAAAGCGTCTCAGAATGGAAAAAAAGCTACATAAAGCATTTACTAAACACGAACAAAAGGAGAAAGAAAGAAAAATACAAATAAAAAAACAACCAAAGGTCTTCGGGCGTAATTTAAAATCGACGACTAGAAAAACAGCATCGACAAAAAGAAACTGGCAATAGTGAGTTATTCTACTGGTTAGAGTGATGTCATAATATCCTTACACCCGGTAACGACTTTTTAGCACAAACACGTTAGAGTATCCACACTAATTGCATTCACTTTTGGGTATCCACATTTATATATATATATATGTTTCAAAAAGCTGAGGAATTTGAGTTGTTTTGGTGTATCCACACACACACATATATATATATATAAATGTGGATACCCAAAAGTGGGTACACTTAATGTGGTTACATCAAATTGTAGATGCACTAAGAATCGATACTCCAGAAATTATTGCTGGATAGGGTATTGTGTCGTAAAACTCTCGATACCCAGTGTAAAGATATTATTACATCTATGATTGGTTAAGAGGAAGCTGATGGTGTGGGTGAATAGATCATTAACACACACATCCACACCCTCACGATGCAAGTATTTGTTCACATTCTTGTAAGCATCGATAGAAGCGATTCGAAGCTGTGGCTCGTCGCAAAATTTAGGGTGCAGACTAAGGGCAACAGTTCCCACCGGCATGTTCATTAGTTTTGTTTCTAAACCAACAATTTTACCGCATCTTTTGCGAAATAAGTGCTGCCAATAATTCAGCAAATTTTAAATTGTTTTAGCTCAGAGTATAATGAGATTAGAGTCGTGAGCCAATACGCATACAAATTTTACTGGCGTCTATTCTTGTCGTCTATCTTTTACTGGTATGTAGCAACATGGATTAATATTTACTAGCCTGTAATGATACACAAAGCAAGATCTATATTCTTGACAATTCGTTTACTGATACATATTCGAACGTATTCATAGTGCACTTTGATCCGATACCGTCGTAAACATCCTAACGACAATAGAGCTCATGAAGTGCGTAGTGGGCTATATAACCTAGATGGGTACAGAATGCTATTACACGTCTCGTGATAAAGAGTAAACTGGACTTAACATCTGTTTCCTTCCTCGAAGCCACATAGTGCGACTTATCCTGCATATCCCTTTGTGGTTCCCACATTGGTGCATATTTCCTATTTGATCCTTCGTGGTATCCACTCCAGGCTAGCTTCCCCCGAGATGTCCTATCGAGACACTCACATCGAGCGCGATTCTTCGTTATACCCGCTGTTAGCATCTACAATGATAGAATGCGGCCTAATATGTATTTGTGCATATTCAAAATTTGTCTGGTCCAACTCGGGACGATGATCCAACTATTTTATTATAATAGCATCTGGTTTTCTGAAACCGAATGGCTCTAGAAAAATACATTGTCATCTCGAGGAATTCATACAATTTCGGGAAAGCGGCTTGTATTCTACTAAGTTCTTCATTGTCGTTCCAAGTCATCTCAACTTTGATAGAGAATACATGTACTAGTAGAAACTTGTACGTACCTGAGCATAAACTCTGCAGATATCGCTGAAAAAGGAAGACATTGCAGTTCAATTACTCTGGTTTATTTTTGTATGTGATTAGTGATAGATACATAGCAGTATGAATCAGTACATGAGTTCTAGAATTCTAGATTTTTTAAGGAGTACATATGTTGTTACATGCTCGTACAAGCAACTGTGTGAGAATAGGTGCCAATACAAGTTGTACCCGTATCAACGCGCCTCTGTGAGACTCATGCTGCTCACCGAGCTATACATGTATCTGAGATCAAATTTTGAACCCGTTATTTCTTGTCTTTTCAGTCATGAGTCTAAACTGGTATCAATATAGTGCAATATACTATTCAATTCAGTGGATGTTATTTGTTGTTGCGTATATTTTTATTTTAATGTTGATACCATACGATTTGTTGGATTAGATTCTAGAAACAGTATTTTTTCTGAAAAAGTATGAATTAAATAGCGCTAGCGAATACAAAACTCCGCTCTGGTGTAAATGTAAACAAATATCGGACAGTTTCAGCAACTTCTGTGGCAAGGAATGTTGTGGATGCCATTATAAGTCAACAATACCTCCTAGGTCTTTAGAAAACTTTTACAAATGCTGTTGTGATTGCGACTGTTGTACTGAAGGTGACATAAACAAGAAGCAACTGCCTCATGACCAAGTTTTGAATCTGACCAAGGATCATGGAAAATGGTACTGTGGTTTTATTAAATTAAATCTGAATAGAATCGGCGTATATCTACTGCTAGCTGCATGTCTCTGGTGCGCATCTATTACGTTTTTTGAAGGAATTATATTAACTTAGGCAACTGCTAGCAGTGGTGACGATTGTCCTCTCTCCAAATACGCCGGATCTGGAATCGTAATGGATTGTTTTATCTATTCAGAGGGGTTGAGTGGCACTCCGATAAATCCATATTCCCCTGTTCAATGTAATCGCACAGCGTCACTGTCATTCAGCGGGTTTCGAGCGGGGTGTTTTGCATGGATTTACGCCCATGTGGAAGTAATTGACGTTATAGAGGAGTTAGGAATTTGTGCTGGAATAGTATCATTCATTGGCAGCGTTGTTGCAAACGCAAGCTACTTAGCACGGGTGCATAGGTGGCGCCTTTTTCTTGGTGTTTTAGCTTGTTCAGCTGTTGCAGTCATTCCGATTCTGATGAATTTCGAGGCTACTGTTCCTTTCTTAACTTATATACTATTAGGGACACTCACTGGAAACATTATTATTATAGAATATCTCTTGGGCTTTGTTCCTCTTCTCACATGGCTCTGCGTTCTAAATGGAATATTCTGGTGGATAAAACATCATAGTAAAATAAGTGGTACACCAAAGCACTCTAATGAATAAATATATCTTGTTTCAAGAGGTTAAATTTTCGAAATCTTTGCTGTGTTTCAATTAACTTTTTTGTAAGTTTATGGTATAATCTCAAGTTTTATTTTTCATTGTACTTGCCATTATTATGTTTTATTTTTCTTGCTATATACAGTATACGATTTGGTGTACTACTTTTTTTTCTATTTTAAAATAAACAGCTTCCATAAAAACGAGAACCAGAAATCTTTCAAAATTGTTTTCAAAAACAGAATGCCACACAATAGACACAATGATAATTAAACTATATAAAAGTAGGACAACTGAAACTCATATCTGAAACATCGAATGATAAACAGTTTCATTTGTACTGGCCAACAAGTGGCTCGCGTTGAATTGATTGACTTTGAACGTCTTTCTGTGTGAACTATTATTACCTGTTGCAGAAAGTTCAGGGTGTGGTAACTCTGCTATTGATTGCTGCAGCCTGCAAGATGAAAAATGTCATCATTGAATGTTTGATCAAGATTGGTTTGAATATGTATGGGTATCCCGATCTTAAGTGCCGTGAGTGAAGGTTAGTCCACTCATCAACAACTCAAGATCTATTAAACACTCCAATACGAAATATATCCTTTTTCACAGGATGAGCTCATGTGTCAATAAATAACCGTCAACCTATTGATTGAATTTATCGGATAATCAGATTTTTGTAACTTCCAGTTACTGTTATGGGATACAAAAGGTTGGGGCTTCAGTATTATATTAACGCCAATTGACTTGCATGTGACATTGTAACATTGTGAATTCGAGAACATAAATGTGGTATCAATGATAGTCTGGGTTTCGAGTCATAACTTTCGGTTGGCGAATAATCGTAAATAGAAAATTAAACCATCACCCTCATTCATGCTTTTATTTTCATCTTCTCTAAAATAAGATTGTCGAAATCTTTCTTATTCGAATCGTTTAAAATATCTACCGATAGTTCTATACTACTTTCAATATATTTATTGTGGTTGCAACAGGAATTCCGTCACATTTATCATTTGTCCAGTTAAAATGAGAGATTTAACTTCTTCAATATAATTTTAGCTGAAATCAAGAATTTGATTTTGACTGGGCTGTAATAAAGTTTTCTTTTTTGTGAGACAGTTTCAAAACGTTTTCCAAAGAACTTTGCATAGGATTACAAGCAAAATAGGGACCTCACTCGGATTCACACTCACATTACGAACCAAACAGTAAAGAACCAAAGACAAGAATCGTCCAGATTCGCATTTACCAATATATTTTTATTGCGCTTTCACTCGTCAAAAGAACTTTTACGTTGTTGTAGAGTTTTCCACTTTCCTTACTGATAACGAGCGTCTACTTTCATGTACAAACTTCCTTTTTTTGTACAGTGGTTATATGTAGAGAAAAGACGAGTGGCGGTGAGAATCAAATAGATCTGAGAATGTTATGTTGTCCAACATCGATCAATAAAAAACAGTTTCACATCGTTACGTTTTTTCTTCGCATTTGTTACATGCCTGGTGATAGCTAGAGAAAATTTCTTTTAACGTTAACAAGCTCGCTTGATATTTTACATAATTCACGCTAGGGACATTTCATTTGGAGATTGTCTTTCGGAGGAAATCAGGACTTAATATGAGAGCACTCGGGCTTCGGGGTCTTTCTATGGCAAAGTGTTCCGCGACCACAAATTCTTTCTGTAACTTCGAGACGTTAACTAAAACATATAATTTTTATGCCCTAAATAGAGGAACATAAGCCGCATCGAATGGTATTTGAATGAACTTTCTAACTGTTATGATCTTGAAAATAATCGAAAAATACGAGTCAACAATGGCACTAATGGAATTTACAACGTCATCGAGTTTAGATTGTAAATAAAACCGAAATATTTCAATGATATTTTTTCATCAGGAGTATCAGGGCTCCCCGTTCCCTAGGGTTCCATTCCCAAGAAACCCAGAACTCGCCTGAAGAATCGTTTTTGTGTATTTTTGGCATGGTAATGTCCGAATACAACTTATCTTCCATTTTAGAACAAGTCAGTGCGGGTTACAGAGTTCCTGAGAACGGAAACCCGTATGGCTTTCAGCTCCCCGCTTTTTCATAGACCGACTTCCCAAAACCAGGAACCCGCCCGGGTTCGGATTCCTAGGAACGTAATCCGAAACTGACACCCTTAATTTTCATACACATTATAAATTCTAGAATAATGGGGGGTAAAGTTTTTTGTTTGTATTTTTTGACAAAAAAAATTTTCCATGACTTATGTTCATCATGATCTTGTTTTTATCTACTTAGAAGTGTAGGCGCATAGCAATTTGAATTCAATCAAACATGAATAAACGATGTTCTTCTTTTAAGGGAAACCATTTCATTTCACTGTTTTCTACAGCTCGAAAGTATTCCTCTATGTAGAAGACCCAGTGAAAATAGTAAGAAGCTGCCTATCATTTGCAATATTTTTATATCTTTTTCGAAAACTCTAATGACTGTCTTAGTACAAATCAATGTCCAATATATTTCCTATATACTTGATCTTTCCTGTATAAATAATGTTTCAGACTTCCTATGTATGCCTATTTTTTTTTAAGTGCCGCAATGAAGCCAGGCAAAAACTCTCCTAAAAGCATTGTTTTATAAAAGCGACACATTATAGTATTAGCACGGATAAACATGTCCTGTAAAGCGGCTTTTTCATAGAGACAATTTCGTTTATGGTAGACGCTAGAAACGAAAAATGATGAAATGGCATGTGGAAGGAAGCAACAACCATTTTTGGTGCATTTTTTCTTTTTACAATTACAGAATAAGAAAAGAAAAAAAAACAGAGAAGGTGATAGATAAGTGAAAAGAAATTTAAGTATCTTCATTAGATAACAACTAAGGTGAGATTTGTGTTTAAAATCAGATTTATATTTATTCTTTTGATGAGGGCTCTAGCCTTATCGATAACCTCTAGCATACGACAAGCATTTTACGTCATTGACTCTCCATCTAGTGAACAGATTTAAACAATTTTTTATGTACCTATTTATGAGCCATCATGTATATTGTGTGATTACTTTTCATCAGTTAATCAAGAAAAAGAAAGGTGACAATGTCAATGATTGGTTTCGATCTGTTGATGTAAAACTTCGCATAGGTTACTGGTAGTCACAATTTTCTTTGTATCTATCACAAAACTCAAACATATAATGAAATAATTCCTAATAAAATTATTCATCTGTTCGTATGCGAGTGATCACTCAATAGTTCATTATATTTTTTCTCCCAAACTTGTATCAAGCCGATCTCAATAGTCAACCTGAATTTTGATTTTTAGAGATTTTGAACATTATTTCAATATGGCTACAGGTGATGAAGTACATGCACATCGTAGCCGAGTCTCTGACGTCGGTCAAGAGCCACTTAAAATGCTATTACCAATTCGTGGATACGATCGAGTCCCCTTGGTGACACTCGAAGAAGCCGTGGAACCACTCGTGCGAATCTTGCCTGAAATAAATGACTACGTTTATGTCGCTAAGCAACGATGCGATGAAGATCCAGCTGATGGTCTTAGTCAAGATGAATCAGCTGCCATCATGCTCTACTCTATGGAATGGATACCTCGAGAAGAATGTCTCTACTCTGTTCTCAACACCATTCTTCGGTCTGAAGATAGACGTAAACTAGAGCCTTGGTTTCTCTATTTGAAGCTTCTTCTAAGTGGACTCACTCGACTTCCATCGACTCGTCGATTTGTCTATCGAGGCGTCAAAATGGATTTAAGCAAGCAATATAAACCAGGAAAAGCAATTGTTTGGTGGGCTTTTTCTTCTTGTACATCAACAGTAGGGGTGCTGCAAAATGAAGATTTTTTAGGTCAGACAGGTGAAAGAACGATGTTTACTATCGAATGTGACAGTGGTAAAGATATTAGTCGTCATTCTTATTTTCGATCTGAGGAGGAAATTCTGCTTCCTCCTGGTAGACAATTCGAAGTTGTTGCGTCTCTACAAACAGGACCCGATATTCATGTGATCCAATTGAAAGAGGTTACGCCTCCTATTGTGCTTCTGCAACCAGTATCATTGGCTTCCAATGCGACTAAGGCTACATCAGGTAAGTACAATCATTGTTTTCTACGCTAAAAGCAAAGAATTGATTGATTCCGAATTATGTTTTTGGAAAGAGAGAATTTATTTCCTCGGTCGATGATAGTTTGAACATAAGAAAATATTTTACGTCAATGAATAAGATGATGCAGTGTCATAGTAGCCTTTATCTCACCAGTTTCTAAATAGTTCATTGAACAACTTCTATGTTTAATTATTTACATAAAAGAGATTGTTCATATGAACTGAGTTGCTGCATCGATTTTCATATGTGCTTATTTGTGACTGGGATCTTACGAGTGCTATGATGCTCTATTATGCCACAATGAGTGAGCAATAACAAAGTCTAGAACTGTCGGAGACATTCGCTTAGTATTATTTGTATTCTTCACATTGTGAAAGTCTCGGTTAACTTGAGATAGAATCGAGTCACTGTATTCTGTAAAACTGTTCTCTTCTTTGTGAATAGAAGAAAAGTTTTCAATATGATGGATGCACGAGAAAAATTCGATATTTGATTATTCCACAAAGTTCCAGAATGTTATCTTTCTTCATGCCGTTAATGACTCTGTTTTTGTACAGAAGTATCAAAAACAAACAAACTCAAGGCGAACATTGACGACGTGAAGGCCAAAGTCGGCCAAATGAAGATTGTGACAGAACCCATGGCTGCAACGACAAAAAAATCTGGTAAGTCATGGTTGACACTGCAGATTACAGTATTTGAATTGATTGTTGAGTGTGATTACTGGAATTTGAAACATTGAGCATCCGATATTAGTTAATCACAATCTGTTATTTTATTCTACCGAGTTAAAAGACTGACTACAACTCATCATGTATTCTATAAGAGTTCGAAAGAGAACTATCGGACGCTGAAGACAATGTTGAGTAACATGAATCATATAGATAATTGATCAAAGTGTCTCTTCAAGCATGACAACTAAACGTCCAGAACACTAAACCACAGAATGGTGGGATCTAATCTATTCAGCAATTGTTTACAAATTAATTCAACAGTAGCATAAAGAAGTTCGAGCGATGAGGTTTCTATAATTTTCCCAAGTATATGTAATTTTTCGAGATGCACGATTACTTGATGACAAACACTGCTTTTGAAGAGATTTAATCGACACGATATTGATCAAAGACATGTGAGAGTTAAAATGATCGTTTCAGAAAAGAAGAATCAGTGGAAGAACAAACAGATATGAACTTGATATAAGCGCAAAATGGTCTCTTTCATATGTGCCTATAGAATATCTCGACATTCAAGAGAATAACGAGTCATTCTCTTTTTCAAACATGAGCTGATCTCAGATTTCACTGGGATATTGCATAGATTAGTCAACCAATTTTTACATTTTATGCTTGGTTTTTATTGTACAAATCAGGAAATAGCTGTTAACTGAAAGAAATGGCGTTGATCTTGTTACAGAGAACTGATTCTGATAATAATACTTTTGTTTATCTCGTTTCAGATAAATCAAAGCCAACTCAACCCAACTCAACTACACTAGTACTGAACCCTAAACCAAAGCCACAGCATTCAAGTATGTTTCTTCACATCCAAGAGCATTTTCTGACAATTCTGCACACAGTCACAGAACATGTCAATTTATTTTGGAAAGATGATGAGACATGTGCATTATTACATAGAATAATTTTTGCACGACATGAAACAGTGTTGAATATCAAACCAGTACATAATTGTCGAATATTTTAAGTGTTGAGTAGCGCATGAAACTAATGTCGATATTCACATAAATGAAAGTAGCAGTCCACTTGTATAGCTCTCCACAGAAGTAAATGAGCATTACGCACATGTTTGACAAGATTCATAGAAAACTTTCAAGAGCGGGAATCCGTTGTTCTGAAACCTTTAAAAAATCTACAAGACGCATAAACAATGTAACGAAAGTCACCGGTATTATCAGCTGGATGACCGGAAACATGGTATAATTCGAGAAAATTGCGTAAATCTTAAAATCGAAAGTTGCAGAATATCATGCAAACATCGACAATATTCTTTTATAGCTTCTCAAAAAAGTGCGGTAGAAAGCAGAAAATGCCTTAAAACTGCGCCAAAGATTCATGAAATTCTTTAAGGTTTAAAGATTCTATGTTGAAGCAAACAAAGCGTCATACCTATTTCAGTAGAATGCTCTAGAATTTATTGAGCCATATTACAATGGAAATATTCTTTATTTTTCTGTTGTAGCTTTCATCCCGAATATTCCCTCAAATGCCAGATGGGAAAATAATGGAATCATCGTCGCTGGAGGAAATGGATCAGGTGATGCAGAGAATCAACTAGAGTATCCTTATGACTTGCACGTGGATGATGATCAAACTCTTTACATTAGTGACTACGGCAATAATCGTATTATGGAGTGGAAGGCTGGTTCGAAGAGCGGTCAAGTGGTTGCTGGTGGGCATGGCCGGGGAGCTCGAGATGATCAGCTGAATACGCCACGTGGTGTGATTTTGGACAACGAGATGGACGCTCTCATCATCTGTGATGCGGGAAACGGACGTGTGACAAGATGGTCTAGGCAAAATCGAACAAATGGAGAAACGATCATCAATAATGTCAATTGTTGGGGTTTGATGATGGACAATCAGAGATTTCTCTACGTGACTGACCAAGTGGCAGTTCGACGATATGACACGGAAGAAAAGAATGGTATAGTAGTGGCGGGTGAAAATAGTGGTGGTGACGGTCTCAATCAACTCGACAGACCTGACCTAATCTTTGTTGATCGAGATTATTCTATCTACGTCTCGGAATATTGCAATCATCGTGTAATGAAATGGGCGAAAGGTGCAAAAGAAGGCATTATTGTGGCGGGTGGTCGAGGCGAAGGCAATGCTTTAACACAACTATCGAACCCTACAGGAGTGTTCGTCGATCAGTTGGAGACAGTCTATGTGGTAGACTTTGGTAATAATAGAGTGATGCGATGGTGCAAAGGAGCAACACAGGGAAGCATCATCATCGGAGGAAAGCATTTGTGTGGCCCTAGAGGCTTGTCATTCGATCACTATGGTAATATGTATGTTGTCGATTGTTGTAATTATCGAGTTCTAAGATTTTCAATTGAAAAGTGACTGTAAAACATTGTTTGTTTTTATGCGTAACAAGCAGTGAATATTGTTTCGATTTGTTTTCGTGTAATTAAAAAAATTGCTTGTTCAAAGCAACTACAGCATCGAATTCATGATATTATTGCGCGTGAATTATGATTTTATCATAGTTAATAAATCCTCAATGAAGAGCAGTGATAGCAACTTCTAAAAGAATTAATTTCAACAACTGTTGATTTCTATGCTTCTCTTTAATATAGATTTATACATGTACCTATTTCCGGGTCTTTCGTCAGAAATTGTCGCAAACAAGGTAATGTGGATTATGTATATACTAAGACAATACTCAAGCCTGTCTCAAAGAAGATAACGAAATGTTGATTAGAGATAAATGTTATCCAAAAACGATCGGTACTCTTAATTAATGAGGCTGTTCGTAAAATTCAGCGATGAGTGAACCAATTGTTAATCAATTGGAGCTATTTCATTGAAAGGGCATTGATATTATATGTGTTTGTATCGCTGAATATGAAGAGTGTCCGATCATGACAGCTCTATTAACTTTAATGGATCATAGAATACACGACCAAAAAGAAAGTTGTTTAACAGTTATAAGTTTACTAATTAGTAGTCACAATAAGAAGATTGCCCCTGATGATCGATGAAAAATAATTTTTTTTATCGTAATTCTATGTTATTATGATGATCAGTAACACTGTTACAGACGACACTCATTTCTCTTACAAGGTAATACAATAATTCTTTCGTTTTAGACAGGTCTATCACAAATATAGCAAGATATCGGTAGTTATACATAAATTCAATAGTTATCTACTCATATGGACATTATGTAATGAATATCTTTTATTAAGTACATAAGATTCAAAAAGTCAAGACTGGAATCGAAAACAATCGAGCTTTCCCTCTGATCAAGGCGGTAACGTAAATGATTTTTTCTTCTAGCAGCGCTTGACATTGTGTATTTAACATTATTCAAATACAAAGAGAATCAGCAGCGTTAACTAAAGCTTTTATTAAAATAACAGATTACTGTTTTTCGTATGATAATTTCCAGTTAGAATCTCAAGGTTGTTCAAAATCAGATTTCAGAATTTTTTCAAAAGTAGTAATTGTTTCATCCTATTTATAACAAAAGAGTTTCATGAAAGACAACTCTACCAATCATCTAAGTATTGGAATTCCATCCAAATAAATATTCAATTTTATGTTATGTAAAAAGATGTGTTAAATACTAGCGGAAAAAATCCCCAAGAGATGTATTACACGGATAGATCGTAGTCAAATACAGTTATGCATTTCTTTAGAATCCCGGCAAGATGCTCCTCGGATAGTTGCTCCCCGGACTTTTGCTCTGCAGTGACGCTTCCTCCCGGTACTTGGTCCCTAACTGTATTTAACTAAAATGTTAATCCGCACGAGATTCAGATATAAATTTATTTATTTGAGAGTGTGGGTGTATCGGTGTGAGTGTGCCAGTGCAAGTATGGGGAAATGGTTATCATCTTCACTCACCCACACCCACACCCTCAAGGAGCAAAAGTCTGGGAAGCAACTATCCGGGGAGCATCTTGCCGTTTACCATTTCTTTAGCTTTGTTTAAGTACGTAGTGCTAAAATGCATTAATTTTTTATCACCGAATATATAAATAGTTCAGGGCATATATTAAAAGTTCAAGAAGAAGTAGAATCTTGTTTAGTCAAGAAAAAATATATGAGCATAGGTGCACATTGGCCGATATTTTCTGTTCAACTTTTAAACTAGTATGATCCTTGGAAAATTGTTATTCAGTGTTTGCATTAGTATCTGGCACATTTTGATGATCGAGCTCTTTTTTCATTTGAAGTAAAGCACAGGCACATAAGCACAAGCATGATGCCAAACAATCTCCCAATAATGAACCCTATATAGTGATAAGAAAATAACGTTTTCATCGAAATTTTTAAAGCAACTTAGATAAACTTACTTTAATGCCATACGCCATTCGAATCTTAGTTCGCAATGATTGCGTCGAGCCAGGAAGTAAGCACGAACAAAAATGTTCACCTGCACGTGCATGTAAAAGACCTTCACAGATACAACAACAACAGCAGTAAAGAATACCTGAAAAATATTATGAAGTCAATCTTCAAACAGACCTCACTACTATCATAGTTACCATCTGCAACTGGACTAAACGAATCAAGAAAGTCAGTGTTCCATTGGGCATTACATGGCTTGAGCTCCTTGTCAGTAGTTGGCTGAGTAGTAATAGTGGTACTACAATGAAAACAATGTAAAGGATAAGATGTATATATGCAAGCATGGTGCAATCTCCGAAGATTGATATAGACGTAAAAATTTGTAAAAAATGATGAAAAGATTTGCTTTTTTGAAGTTTAAAAAACTTATTAGTTGTGAATAAAGACTGAATTACAATTTTTTTCAAGTTTAAAACCTTGAAAGTCGTAAACGTTTCCTATTATTACATCGTTGCTATACTCCTCCGGCTCACCCAGTACTGCAACCGGTACCGGCAACCGGCCGGTCCGATCCGGTTGAAACGACTTTTTCAGAACGCTCTCGGTCAATAATATTTTTCTTATTTTGTCTGCTTTTTTTGACAACTTTGGTGCAAAAAGCAAGTCATAATTATTTTTCTCATGCAAAACAAGGTTCACTGAAAGTTCTCGTACCGTCTACGAACTAAATTCTCCCATTTCGCTAGTCTGAATTCGGTTTTAGGAAGTCTATATGTGATAAATGTAGCCGATAGACTCTAAAGCTAAACTATGGGTTAACGAGTAGTAAATTTGAAATATCGCTAGCCTGTTCTCTTTCAGCGGTATGCTTAATTCGTAATGCTCACGTTCAGATACTAAACTATTATTTCGTTGATCATATGCATGAACTATGCTTAATGGAACAGAAGAAATTTTGACTAATTTTCGATATCGAAACGTCTTTTTTTGTGACCAGGAGCGCGTTTAGAGGAAGACTTTCAATGACTTCTGAAACGCTCGAGTAATTTTCTATTTGCTAATTCGCATAATCTATCACTTATGCAGATGAACACACGTTAGGAATGTATCTTACCTTGTTCCTCAGCTTAGTCTTGTAAAGTCACTGCTATGATTCAGTACACTGTAAAAAAAAAGAGTAGAATAATAAACCCTTGTCCTTTCTACAAATCATGCTAAACCCTTGAAGGGTTTATGACAACGCCATAAACCCTTAAAGGGTTTATGAAACGAAGGGTATATNAAGAAACTTTTCACATACGGTAAAAGGGTTTAGTCTACGTTGCACTTTCATAAACCCTTAAAGGGTTTATTATTCTACCCTTTTTTTTTACAGTGTAGAAGTTATGACTCACTGGTAACGAGAAAATTTGCTTGATGGCTCATGTCAGTCGATTGGCCGGTCCGGTCCAGTCGGCTTGAGTCCGACCGTGCACCGGCCCGGTGAAGAAAAAACCTGACCGGTTGCATCTTTAGGCTCACCCACTCCCAATCGAGTCATGCTTTTATATCTATCTCAATCATATCAATCTGAAGCCGGAACCGGAATACATTTGATAACTCGCATTCAGCAGAGAATTATATAATTAACCTGAGGTTAAATATATAGAGATGAGAAAAAAAGCAATATGTAATATCATCTTGAGATTTTTATATAACTTCCATATGCGAAAATTTCTATTAAAATTGTGTATTTTGTTGTTGTAGCACTTTATTTGACATCTATCCTACATTACATATTAGCTCGTCCACAAAAACCACGACTGATTTCAGTATAGGGTGGTCAATCGACGATCGTCAAATCGATTCATTTCCATATGAGTTTATAGAGGCAAGTGTTTGATTGATTGATACGCAAGGCGTTTCAAAAAATCTTTCATCGTTCCTGAGATATAAAACTTTTTTTTAAGACCACTCTCATCAAAAATTTATCTTTTTTGTTACCTTTTGTAAATCTAATATCTCGTTCAGGACGCAAAAAGCTGGGCTGATATTTATACCAGAGCTCTATGATAGTTAAAAGTATCTTTTATAAAAGAAACGCGACTTACCTGGTGGAAACATAAGAAAGTCGGGCCCAGCCACAAAGTATGCCACATTCTCCCCATTTTCACGATTTTGCACATAATAAAATCTCATCAACAGATTATGCTAAAATGCTGATATTTCTGTTATAGTAAGATCTTATTAAGTACTAACTTTGGTAAAATTTTCTGTTATCTAGCTAGTTCCAATCAGTCAGAAGACCTGACACAAAAGAGCGCTTTTCACAAAAAATGCCACTTTTGCAGTGAGCTCTCTAGTGCCAAAGCAACTAGATAGAAAAGTGGGTACTACAATGACCTACAAGAAGGATAGCAAAACTCAATCGTAATTCTTTAAAATTTGTATCTCAAGCAGCCATAAATATACAAGTGATCTCTCGTCGTGCCACATATTACATTCATGTACACTACCATATGCCTGCTAGTGTACAAAGATCTTGAGGGTGTGTGAGTGGGACTCTTTATTGCAACATCCATACCCAACGCACAAGCACACTCATAATCGATTCGACGATCATCGATTGAGCACCCTATACTGAAATCAGTCGTGGCTTACGTGAACTGGCTCATATAGAATAACTTTTAAGATTCAAGTAAAAATGGTTAGCGTAATTTCTTTAACTACATAAAATGAAAACATCTCTCTGAAATTGTATTCAAAGATTGATTAAACGATGAATGAGATTCTTACGTGATTAGGTTGAGATTTAGCGCCATATTTGAGGTTTCGAAGTATTATCTAGAACTTTTATTTTGGAATACGCGTAATAGCAATTTTCTTTGTAAGGTGCTTTGTAAAATCGACAATCGTATTATATAAATCTAAAATAAAAGTATTAATCTGTGAAGATGTCCATTTGGGCAAGCTCACAAGTTCTCGCAACAAAGAAACTGAGAGTAGGTTTCTGTCTGAGTTTTATAGGTACCAATGGAATTTTGAGTAATAGCGAGCCAAATTTCATGGGAAGAGAGAGGACAGCAGCTCTCTTCCATAATCTCTTTTTATGATGGAGATCACAGAAAGCTGTCGATACTCTTGTTACATTCATTTTACTATTATACTGAACTGTTCAAAAAAAATACTGTTAGTAGAATAGTTTTAGGATCAAAATGTGAAACAAGACACGCCTGACAATTTCGGTCTAAAAAAATGTTTTAGTTAGAATGTTACTAAATTGGTATAGTATTGTGCTTCAAAAGGCTGGTATATGGCGCTATGTGATCTGAAAGAGAACATATTATAGCGGTCTATGACTGTAGAAAAATTTGTCTACTGCGACCTGTGGTCGTAATACCTAGATATGTAACGGTCTATTATGCATTGTAAAAAAATTCGTTAATAACGGACCCGTTTATTTCTGGAAAACCTTGCTATATCTTAGAAGGATTTATGCCCGTGTGTTAAACTTTTAAGGAATTCTTGTGTCAAAGTGACTGTTGAGAAAATGTTTATTGATATACTCTTTTCCTAACAGAGAATTTTATTCTGCTACCAAGGGTTTATTGTTGTGCCTTTACTGAACAGAGTATTCTATTCTGCGATTAGTTGTGCAGCATTCTAATTTTGATTGAAAGGAGTATTTTCCCGTCGTTGAAGGGTTTTCTATTGTGCATTTTTCAGAAAAAGGGTCCTTTTATTGTTCAATCAACGGTTGATGATTCTAATATTTCATGGAAAAGTAATTTTATTCCACGCGTAATACTATTATGCCAACGAGCACTAATTGACAAACATTATTTTTGAATGATACAACTATGAGACGTGCAGATCGGTGTGTACACAAAGAATAGATGTGCTCCCATTAATACTTTATTGCAAATGCCATGTAGCATGTTTCTTTCATTTCTGTTTGTCTCATTTTTAATGCTGTTACATTATACTCTCGTATCCACTATTCTTTTCGATCGCTGTCTTTTTCACTATCATGCTACGTTCCCACTGAGAGCATTCTCTCTACACGAAATAGAAAGAGAACAATACGAGATGATACGACCTTACCTTAGTGTCAGCCCAATTTGATCTCGAATATAAATGGAGAAAAGGAAAAGAAAAACTACGTGATAAACCGAGGAATAGATTTAGTTTTGGTTTAACGTTCCGATATATGCGACACATAAACCCATATATACCCCTAAAACCAAGCGCACACTTCAAGGTACACAATACAGACAGCACTCCCGGTTATCCTTTCGAGCTATCGTTTGGAGGTATCCTGCCAAGAATTCTTTTTGGGTACCCTTTCGAGGGCCGTTTCTCGGCACTGTTCCGAGAACCCTTACTCGGTACCCTTGCCAGTTATCCATTACCCGCATTTGAGGCCCCCTCACCATCACTTGCACCCACTCCATCTTAAACTAAATCTAAAACTAAATTTATTTCTATCACTTTTTTCGAATTGATACCGTGCAGTTGGGTGTCCATTAGTATTCGAATTCGAAGTAGGCATCCGATGGATTGGCATGCAAGCTGATCGTCTAGATTCCGATACTTTATGCATTCATTTATCTTCTATTCTATTTAGAAATCCTACGAAGATCCTTGCAAGAAATGAGAAGAAATCGCTGCGAAATCTTAGATTGATTCCAGAAAGATCTTGTCAAGAAAGTTGATGACGTCTTGAATGAAACCGAGTCGAATCCTAAAAGTTAATATTAGGAATCCATTACTTTTTAGTTTTAGACTATTAAAATCGTGTCAGGATCTTGCGGTTACCTCATGAAATGCCTAATTCGAATTCGAATATTAATGGACACCCAACTACATGGTATCAATTCAAAAAATAGTGATAAAAATAAATTTAGTTTTAGATTATAGTTTAAGGTACGAGTGATGGTGGTGGGGTCTCAATTGCGGGTGTGGGTAAGGGGTAATTGGAAGGGATAGTTATAACGAATACGTGGAAGAGGTACGTGGAAGGGGTAGCTGGAAAGGATATTGAGAAAGGACCTTGAAAGCGTACCAGGAGGGGACCATAGGAAGGATTTCCAGAAATGACCCTCGAAACAGTACCTAGAAACGACCCTCGAAAGGTATCCAGAAGGGATCCTTAGAAAGGTAACCCAAAAGGTCTTTTGGAAGGGTACCTCCACACGGTAGCTAGAAAGGGTAACCAGGAGTGTTGTCTTTATTGTGTACCTTGCAGTGTGCGCTTGGTTTTAGGGGTATATATGGGTTTATATGTCGCATATATCGGAAAGTTAAACTAAAACTAAATATATTCCTAGATTTATCACGTAGGTTTTCTTTTCCTTTTCTCCATTTATATTCGAGGTCGAATTGGGCTGGCACTCGAATACTTCGACACTCCTTTCAGATCGTGTTTTACACAACTTAATACACTCTCAACAAAGCATCGAAAATAAAGAGTACGCAAAAACACAATGCCTACATTTAAGAAAATAAAGCAATTAGTGACAACAGTTCGTTAAAAATAAAAGAGTACTATACACTTTAAAATTTTAAATAAAATCAAATCAAATGTATAAGCAGCTAAAAACGAATATGAGAAAAGTAACATAATATGTATTGTGAAAGAAGTTTGCTAAAGCAAATGAAAGCATAAGAAATCAGTAGCGGATAAATCTCCTATATGAAAGTAAAGAAAATAAGACGAAGACATAGAAAAAAAACGTACATTGTCAACATGATTAACAAAAGCAAACAAAATAAATTATGCTTTCAAGTGAACATAGACGATAAATGAAATGCAGAAAGAAAACGAGATGAAAGTTACGCTAGATGTACATTCCTCAATGAATATTTCGATACAATGATTAGAAAATCAACATCAAATTTCAGAGTATTAATTATTTGTATGAGAAAATAGAAAAGTCACTGAAAAAGTACACATCAGATATGAAAGATGTTATAAGAGTTTATAAGTTAAATTCAATCGAAAAACGTCGTGCAAGATGAAAGTGTGATTCATAATAGAAATAGGTTAAGGAATGAAGAGTACATGAATGGAATTATTAGGATAACGCGATGCATGTAGTAAGAGAATAAGGGTGAATGAAATATTAAGATTATTTTCTCTTGCTCAAAGTTCTTTTCATCTTATTTACTAATGCATTATTATGGTACAACAATGAGAAGGAAAAAAAGCAACGTGAATCTTAATTTTTGAATATTATTTGAAAATAATGAAGACGAAGATGGATACTTTATTTTGGCAAGAAAGCTATCATCTTCAGCCAACGATCCACATTGAAAGTGATACCATTCGACAGAGCTCAAGATTCCGTATCGAACATTATTGGTTAGACACTCCAGAAGTTGTTAATCAAATAGCTACTGAAAAAACACGAGTCTTAGACTAACTTTCCTTATGTTTGTGAACAATATCTAATAGATAGCACTCCCCTTTGAGGAATTTTATCATGAACTATGTCAATCAAAATTACGAAAATCTTTATCCGATAAATCTGAGAAACGTAAAAAGAAGCAAATCAATAAGGTCTCCATCTTTGTCTACATTACTTTCAAATGATATTCAAGAAAAATGAAATTCACGTCGCTTTTTTTCCTCCTCATTGCTGCACCATAATTATACATTAGTAAATAAAACGAAAAGAACTTTGAGAAAGAGAAAATAATCTCAATCTTCCATTCAGTCTTATTCTGCTATTACATTCATCACTCTATACTAATACTTCTATTCATTTCCTCTTCATTCCTTAATATATTTCTATTGTGCATCTTATTGTCCTCTTAAATGACTTTTTCCGATTACATTTAGCTTATAAACGTTTAGAGCGTTCTTAATATACGATGTCTACTTCTTCATACTGACTTTTCTATTTTCTCACACAAATCATTCATATTCTGAAATTATATTTTTATCGTTATGCTTATATTCGACGCAAAGTTTCTCTGCTTTTAAAATTTCTTTCATTCCAAAATCATGAAATTTTTATTTTCTAATCATTCTTTCGAAATATTCATTTAGGAATGTACATCTAGTTTAACTTATATTACATTTATTTTAGATTCATTTCTTTCAGAATGATTCACTTTTGTTTTCTGTTCACATCCCACTTATGGTTTATGTTGATTTGAAAGTATAATCTTTTGGTTTCCCCTTTTAATCTTGCTTAAAGTATACATTTCTTTTTAATGTCTTCTTCTTTTTTATTTACTTTTGTATATACCATTCAACTGCTACTAATTTCTTATGCTTTATTTACTTTAGTACATTTCTTTTACAATACGTTTCATATTACTTTTCTCATATTCTTTTTTTCTCTTTTACGTTCACTGTTATTCTTTTTGAAATTTTGAAATTTTGCAGTTTATGCTATTATTTTGTTTTTAACAATATATTTTCACTAGTCGCTTCATTCTCAGAAATTCATCCATTTTGTTTATTCATACTCTTTATTTTCGTTGCTCTTGCTGAGAGTGTGATAGGCGATTCTGTTTATCGTTTTATTTGAATTTCTTGTGTTTTTGTAGTCTTTTCAACAGTTCAGTATAATAGTAAAATGAATGTAACAAGAGTATCGACAGCTTTCTGTGATCTCCATCATAAAAAGAGATTATGGAAGAGAGCTGGTGTCCTCTCTCTCCCCGTGAAATTTGACTCGCTATTACTCAAAATTCCATTGGTTCCTATAAAACTCAGACAGAAACCTACTCTCAGTTTCTTTGTTGTGAGAATTTGCGAGCTTGCCCAAATGGACATCTTCACAGATTAATACTTTTATTTTAGATTTATATAATACGATTGTCGATTTTACAAAGCGCCTTACAAAGAAAACTGTCATTACGCCTATTCTATAAAAAAAATTCTGGATAACACTTAGAAATCTCAAATATGGCAATAAATCTCAAGGCAATCACGTAAGAATCTCATCTGTCATTTAATCAGCCTTCTAATGAAATTTCAAAGAGATATTTTCGTTTTACGTATTAGGGTGTGGGTATGAGTGGGACTCTTTATTGCGACACCCACATTCCACACCCACACCCATATAAAACATGAGTAGACCGGGAGTGAGCTGAGCCAAGGTAGTTTAGCACAGCCACATTGATAAGAAACTCGTAACATCTTCACTCTAAAAAATGGTTTTTTTAAGAGATCAAAAAAGTTTTTTCCTAAGGGTGTGGAATGTGGGTGTCGCAATAAAGAGTCCCCCCCCCCCCCCCCCCCCCCCAAATAATTTGGAGTATAANTATTAGTTGAGAGTATAACACAGAATACTATGAAACGTTTAGTAAGAGTGACCCGAAACCTTTGCTTAGTCGAGAAGTATACAAACCGTTTCGTAAAAAGACCATCAAGCCATTTGACTATATCCGAAACCAGGGACAGTTCGGTGGATAACTTCCGAAGCAATGATTCGTTTTTTTACAATACTTACGAAATCTCTCAGGAGTTTTCACGAAACTTGAAAGGTTTCGTTGGAAGACTTTGGAACTCTCTTAAAAATACAAAACTGAAAAAGGCTTTCCGAAAAAATTACGAAATGATTTTCACTCTACTTAGCTTAAAATCGTTCGGTGAATGAGTTCTAAATCTTTGAAGTTCCGTAAAAAAAACTTTTTTTAGAGTGCTGAAGGTTTTTAAGTTTGGAAACATCGTTATTCAGTTTTTATTCACGGCCCATGAGCTTTTCAAACTTCATGAAAAGCGAAAGCTTTCATTTTCTACACAGTTTTACATGTATCTCAAGTTTCAGAGATTGTACCAGCCCATCCCTGTATATATAATTACATCTTATCCTTTACATTGTTTTCATTGTAGTGCTACTATTACTTCTCAGCCAACTGCTGACGAGAAGCTCAAGCCATCCAGTGCTGATTGGAACACTAAGTTGCTCGAATCGTTTAGTCCAGTTGCAGATGGTAACTATGATAGTAGTGAGGTCTGTTTGAAGATTGACTTCATAATATTTTTCAGGTATTCTTTACTGCTGTTGTTGTTGTATCTGTGAAGGTCTTTTACATGCACGTGCAGGTGAACATTTTTGTTCATGCGCGCTTCCGGGGTCATCGCAATCATTGCGAACTAAGATTCGAATGGCGTATGGCATTAAAGTAAGTTTATCTAAGTTGCTTTAAAAATTTCGATGAAAACGTTATTTTCTTATCACTATATAGGGTTCATTGTTTGAGGATTGTTGGACATCATGTATTTTTTGTCCTTGTAATTTACTTCAAATGAAAAAAGAACTTGATCACCGGAATGTGTCAGATTATTGTGCCAGCACTTAATAACAACTTTTGAAGCATCATATTAGTATAAAAATTGAACAGAAAATATCGGCCAATATACATTTATGCTCATATGTATTTTTTGGCTAAACAATATTCTACTTCTTCTTGAACTTCTAATATATGCCCTAAACTACTTATATATTCGTTGATAAACAATTAATACAGTTTATCACTACGTGCTTGAATAAAACTAAAGAAATGCACAACAGTATTCGACTAGTAGATTAGCTTACGAGGGAAGATACCCAAGTGTGAATCGCGGATCAAGCTCATATTTTGCCTATAAATAGGATCTGGTGAGACTAATAGATCCATAAAAGGGTTCCTTCCAATACGCTATTCTTCCAAAGTCATGACCGCTTTCTGCATTTTCGAAATCTGGCACGGTATTCATGGAAAAACCTAATGACAGACTGTTGACCTGAAATGTTATCTATGGATAGGTCTCATAACCATTAGAATGCCCTAAAAATTTCAGTCAAAAATAATGCTTTCTTCTCAATATGTTGAAAAAACTCAATTTTCGTACCTTTTCTTGTCACATATGATCGGTTTTTGGGCATTCAATATCTTGAGAAGAAAGCATTATTTTTGACTGAAATTTTTAGGGCATTCAATTGGTTATGAGACCTATCCATAGATAAAATTTCAGGTCAATATTCTGTCATTAGGTTTTTCCATGAATACCGTGCCAGATTTCGAAAATGCAGAAAGCGGTCATAACTTTGGAAGAATAGCGTATTGGAAGGAGCCCTTTTATGGGTCTACTAGTCTCACCAGATCCTATTTATGGGCAAAATATGAGCTTGATCCGCGATTCACACTTGGGGATCTTCCCTCGTAAGTCAAAATAAAATGAAAAGCTTGATACGGTTTAACATCGCCAGGATGTTTTGAATAGTTCGTTCTTTGATTTTAATGAGGGTGTGATACCAGAGCATGCAATTCAATATTAAGATTGAATTAAAAGCACAGAAAAAAGCGTGTAAATGTTATTAAATTTATGTGGCACAGCGACCAATGTCATTTAGGTTTTCGCTGCAAATGATTTCGTTGATAGGACCTGAGTTGTTGTTATTTTACGTAAAAGAAATTTACAAAAAATCATATATGCTTTTATGTCCTCTTTAAATGCTTAATACATTTTAATGACCATACTCAGAAAAAAAAGAAGGTGTCATGCTCAACCTTGTAAGGTTCTAGATTTGGATCAGCAGTGTCGAAGGACTGAGAAATAGGAATTTCTAATGTATCGAGTAATTGTCAGTGCTGCTGTGATAATTCCTAGAGGAAATGGGAATCAACTATAGGTTCCCTCACAGTTCCACCATTCACGAAAGTTGCGATATTGCTGTTTTAAAAATCATTTTTGCATGAAATTATTGATTTTCACAATTTTGCAAGTGAAAATGAGTGCAAGAACAAAAATTATCGTGAATATTCCATATTTTTATCTTTAGTATGCAAGGAACCGTAGGGGAACTGATGAGGAGTTCCTAATCCTCAGTCCTTGGACACCCCTCAACTACAGAAAATCATGAATTCATTTTATCAGATTGACACTACCTGTCCATTCTTACATGTGACATATCGAAAAAGATAAAGAACAGTCACACTTCAAAAGATGCCACTAATTATTGAATTGATTTTGGAGACACACCTACTCAGGTCTACCATTCAACTATCGCATCCCTGGCATCGAAAAAAATGATGACAGATTCAGATTCCTGGGCATCGATAACCTATTCCAAACTTCGATCAGAATTTAGATCGGAGTTGAGGGGTGCGTCGATACGGATACAATTTGTATCGCCCATCGACATCGTATCTATGTTACATTGTTTCCATATATATATCCCTGAAAACCCTAGAATTCATGAATCATGTAACGGCATGTATCGCCTTGTGTCGAGCCTCTGTTACAAGATATCGATACAATGAAACAGAGTCTCAATAGAAGCCGATACAAGCCGTTACATGATTCATGAATTCTAGGTTTTTCTGGGGTATATATATGGATACATTGTAACAGAGCCCCGATACAAGGCGGTACATGCCGTTACATGATTCATGAATTGGAGGCTTTTCATAGGTATATATCTCGATACAATGTAACATAGATACGATGTAGATGAGCGATACAACTTGTATTTGTGTCGGCGCAGCTATGACTAGAACCAGATATTTTGGAAAGCGAAGTTCAATTCGCCATAGAATCATTAGCAAGTGGAAAAGCACCTAGACATGATGGCATTCAAATTGAATGTTTCAAGACAATTAAAGAAGATGCAGTGAAAATATTAACAAGATTATGCCAACAACTATGGAAAACATCGATATTCATTCCCATACCAAAGAATGGAAATACTAAATTTACGGTGGTTGACGGGAAAAGCTCGTGAATACCAAAAAGGGTTTTACTTATGTTTCATCGACTATATTAAAGCTTTCGACTGTGTAGATCATGAGAAACTCTGGTCTGTACTACTGAAAATGGGTGTACCAAAGCATTTGATTGTCCTTATGAAGAACTTACACACCAATCAACAATCATCGGTGAAAACGGAATATGGAAATACAAAATGGTTCAACATCGGAAAAGGCGCACGACAAGACTGCATACTATCTCCATACTTATTCAATTTATATGCAGAGCATATAATGAGAAAAGCTGGGATAGATGAGATAGTAGGTGGTAGAAAGATTGATGGACGAAATATCAACAATTTACGTTACGCAGACGACACTACAATAATGGCTGAAGCAGCTGATGACCTCCAATACCTCCTACGAAAGGTAGAAGAGGGGAGAGCGAAAGTTGGTCGAACGAAAATTGGTCGAGAATTTTGTAATAGAAGAACAAAAGCTTTTCCTTAAACGGAAACTCTAAGTCCGAAGTGTATCTTGAGAGTGAGGGTGAAGGCGAGGATGTGGTTGAGGTGGTCACCATGTTCTCAAAACAAACAGCATTACTAAAATAATTAGAAAGTCTTCTTCGTAAGTTCTAAACTACTTTTCGTTTATTATGCATGCTTAATTTATTTGCCCGAATCACTATTTTCTTCTAATATTAACATGATAACGCAATTAGTGTTAGTTTCAGCTTTACACTACAAAGTTCGGGCTGCTTTAAAAAAAAAGCTTTTGTTCTTCTATTACAAAATTTTCGACCAATTTTCGTAGACCCGTCATCCAATAAATATACTCATCAGAAGGATTATTCAATCATGTTTAAGAAGCAACATTATTTGGCGGACATTTTTTTGATAATAAAAGCATTTCAGCTATTCTACCAGAGATGCTACACTTATTATAGCCTAGAAGACGACCAAAGGAAAACATAGAATACAGCATTTATTCTATATCTATTTGTAAAAGTCAGCTGACACCCACACGCGCACTGCTAAACTGAATGCATAAATCAAGATAAACATACTAAATTGACATTTATTATTATTCAATATGATCGAAGTCTATGTTACAAAAAATAATGATATTAAAGGAAAAAAAATGAAATATTCGCCACGCATTCTTAATCCTAAAGAGCTACTTTTTCTGATGCACCATGTTTGCATACTTTCTTACCAAGAAAGACGACTTCATGTAATGCATAAAATTCGACACAAGAATAGGCCAAGAGGACAAATGGCGTCATTATAAAATGAAATAAATTACGTAGAAAAAATATACATTCATCAACATTCATTATTTTCGGAATAAACATATCGATTAGGAATGCAATTGAAAATGTTAACATTTGTAAACCCAATAGACCAAACATAATGTAGGAAATAACTAGGGGAACATCTTTGACAAGATAATTCATTGATAACATCGATGTTAGACCAAACAGGCCACCGGTACACAATAAAACACCGTAATAAATAAGAAAAGCAGTGCCCCAAGAAAATGCAGCCATTGTTGGGATACGTTTTGACTTGACTATAAAGTAATGGAATACTTCGGCTGCTCCAATTGTCCAGCGACGAGCTTGTCTTGCCCATTCTATGATTTCTTTTTCAATTGTTTCTCCTGATGTGGGTCCACTCAGTACTGGCACAGGTACCAGGGATATTTTTAGTCGTCGTTGTGTCACACCCATCCATCGAATGAGACAAATAATATCGTCCATTTGATAGCCAGGATGAACAAAATCTCCTTTTTTTGCCAAACTTAATGAGAATGAGAAAATACTCATCGTATTTATATTGAATGGAATCAATGCACCTAACATAAGAAAACTTCGTAATAAACCTGTTACACGAGTCACAAACGATAGACTATCCAATTTCCAGTTGTAAAACAAAGGTGGCTGGTAGATTGTGGTTAGTCCTGGTCGATTCTCTTTCAGATACTTGCTAGTTAATGCAGCAATATATTGTTTGGGAAATTTAGAGTCTGCATCACACCCTGTAACTAGAATATTGTCCATTTCGTCCTCAGTAATGGCCATTTCTTTAACGGCTGTACGAAGACCATAATTTGAATTTGAACATTTACCTGGTATTTCATCGCACACACCATATGGATGAATAGTGAATATAATTCGTTCAAAGCCACAATTTTGAAATTTTTCACGTAAAATTTCACATTTCTTTTCTTTGTCTGGTGTTCGCTCTTCAAATGAGATTACCATTGTTATACGATGGACTTCTGTTTGGTCTGCCAGTGTTTCAACACTTCTTGCAATTAAATCTACGGGTTCTTTATAACAACTAATGGCAACAATATGACGAATAGGTTTCTGTCCTTGACCAGCACAGTCTTTAGTAAAATCACGAGATCGGTTCACATATAAAATAATAGCATTTTTTAAAGCCAATATAGCAATAACTATAAAGAAATAACAGTTTAATAATAAAAAAGGAAGATGAAGAAGACAAATATAGACTTACTTGTCCACATGAAAACGAATAGACCTTGAATGGATGGTAATAAATAATAAGCAAGTTTATTAGACACAAAAGGTATCCAAAATGGAAGTGGCACAATCAGCCAAACTAGAAGATTGAATAAAAGATTCCAACGGAATCGTTGACTACCTGATTTCATCTCACGATGAGAACCTTGACCAGTTTCAATAATGCTATGGGGTGGCTTGTGCGAATTAATCTTAGCATCGTCGTGTTTATCTTCCAGTATTGATTTGACAGAACTGATTACCAAGTCCTGTAATTTCTGTTCCGCCTGCGACGACAACTGTCGAAAAAAATTCATCTTTGATGGTTGATCGTGCTCGATAGGTTCTGGAAAATATTGTTTATGTGAAGATGGCAATATTTTGTTTGTTTCATTTTCTTCATTGATATAACCATTATTTTGATGTCCTTGCTCACTGAAGAATCTTACCAGTGTTTTGGGATTTGGTCTCATCATTGTACGAGTATTAGTATTTGTATTCGTATGAGTGATTAAAGATGAAAATCTAATTTTTCATCTCTTCTTTATATACATATCCGAAGAATAGTTTTTATTACGCTAATCCTATGATAATTGACCAAACATGGTCTACTTCCTTTTAATTTCTCTCCATTATCAACTATTTGCCATAAAACAGAAGATGCACTCCAACATTCTTTATTGCACTATATGTTAAAAAACGGAAGAAAAACAAATCGATTATTCTAGGAATGAAGACTATTTACCGCACTGAATATCAAACGTGTCAGTACAAAACAAAATCGTTTCGTACTTGTTATACGTCATTTATGATACTGACGTACTTCATTTTATGATTTCGTACTTCCATAATAGAATGATTTATAAGGGTTTGAAAAAATCGTTAAAAACAGCACATTTTTTTCGATTTTTCGATAGAAATTGTCACTCCATACAATTGTCAATATACATCGTAGTCTGTATCAAGTCAATATTTTCTGAGAATCCCTTATTTAGAATATCATCATGGACTTGGTATTCGCCTGTAAACGACCACATACGATGGTTATACGGCTATTTGGGGTCGTATATTGATACACCATATGACTCAACATTCTCACTGTATCACTTTTTTAACTTTAGCTGAATCGTACATTGAGACATGTCTCCTTTGTCTATAATGTCAGTTAGATTAGTTCTCCATGTGTGATATTTTGTGTTTAAATATCACCTAAATCTACTTCTTTTTTCTTTTTAGATTATTTTAACATGAATTTCAATACAACACATAGCCTCCGGATATGGAGACTACTACTGCTGTTGCAACTGATAGTAAGTAAATACATCTGATTTGTTAATTAGAGTTTCTTATATATGATACAGTCAGAATAATGAGATAGTATAATCAGAAAGTGGATATCATTCTCAATAATGAATAGTGTCTGTATGAATTGAAAGTTCTAGTTATCTCGCTTTCAAATGAGATTTTGTTTTTTATAGGTACCACACATAATGGGAATTCCTCTTAATCAAGTACGTATGAATTATGGAAGTTATAGTCCTATGTTTGAGAAAAAAATGATCGAGGAAAATCTTCCGGACGGATACTGGGTTGAAGCTTTTCAAGTAGACAATAAAAATTCTGTTGGATTGGTAGCCTATGGACTTAGTAGTGGAGATATATATCTTTATGAAAATGTATCCACAATTAAAGCATCAGGAAAGCGTACTCTTATTCAAAAACTAGATGGTCCTGTGGCCATGGATCAGGCTGATATAACAGGAAATGGCATGAATGACATTATTATTTGCTTTCAATATGGTAATACAATGCTAGACACTGATCCCGAAGGAGGAAAGATCGTATGGTTGGAAAATCCTGGGCAGAATATCGATAAAAAACAGTGGAAAATGCATTACGTTGGAAAATCTACAGCTATGCATAGACTTAAAGTTGGCCATTTTACACAAACGAAACGTTGGGAAATTATAGGTTTACCTATTGTCGGTAAGCCATATGATTTACTCTCACCAGTGCCTGTAATATTATTCCGACAACCCGATAACATCTACGATGCTACAGAATGGCCTCATGAAATAATTAATCAACAATTTTTTCATTTAATTCATGATGCTAAACAATTCAATGATAATCAATTAGATAATCTTCTTATTGCATCAAGCGAGGGTATTAATTGGCTATATTTTAATCAAAACTTACGACAATGGACGATTAAGCATATTGGGGATGGTGAACAGGAACAAAAACAACAAACAACTTACTACGGCAGTGGTGGCATTGATATGGGACGAGTCGGAAACGATTCTTTTGCTTATATGCCTGCTGTCGAACCTTTTCATGGAAATGTCATTTCTGTTTACACTAAAAACGAGAATAATTCTTCGGAACAAGCCCCACGGAAAAGATATGTACTGGATATTTATGGAAATCCTAATGAAAATGGCGAAGGTCCAGCTCACCATCTCGTTTGTGCTGACTTTGACAAAGATGGAGACGATGAATTCTTAGTTGCACTTCGTGGACCATCGCCAAATCAAGGTGTCTACTTTTATAAACCAATCGATATCTCTCGTGGTTTATTTGCCAAATGGAAAGTTAGTGACGATTCGGCTGCCAGAATTGCTGTTGCTGACTTTGACAATGATGGCTTTCTTGACTTTGCAACAATTAGCTACAATGTTCCAGGTTATTATACAGCAGAAAATCCGTCTATTAACATCTTTTATAATCGATTCGCTCAGCAGATGCTACCAGATAAAAATGAAATACAGGTACTGAAGCAAAACAATGATCTTTTATTCAAAGTTCCAAGACCAAACAAAGCATTACAATATCAAGAACTACCATTTATTACAATGAACGGCATAGTTTTCTCATTAGCAATTGTACCACCTCATAGTTCACGTCAAGTAGACAACAATACATATATCAAAGTTATGGATGGGATTATAATGTGGACTGATTCTTCGAAAGGATCACACCAACGGGTTACCCAATCACGTCAACTTCTGTCTGAACCAAGAACTGTTGTAACTCTTGAGATACACAGCGAAAATCAAAGAATTAGAACTGGCAACGAAGGTGCTCTTTTGATGATATTCAAAACACCTGGCAACATAAATGATGCTCAAAGAATTGATGATATGAAAAAAGTGATCATTGACAACTCATTACCAGAATCCTATCCTGAAGACACACGTCAACTTGATTTTCAATTTATCCGGTATGATAAATTGGATTCGAGCGCACACTTCAAAGATCTTGAATTTTACAATATGAAAGGTTTCAGGATAGATTTTATTGATAACGATGAACATATTTGCTACATACAACTATGGGCTGCTGGACAAGGCGTTAATGCAGGTGTACACAATCATGAGAAGAATACATTCTGCGAAGTTCATGTATGCATTATCAATGGAAGTGGAAAAGGTGGCATGCACTATCTGAATAGCTCCAAAGAAGTTTACAATCCACTTACTACACCGGACTCGGCATTCGAACAGCTAGTACTGCCAACATTTTATGAACATGGTCCTCTATGGGATATCGATGCACAAAACAAACCAGTTTTAAGAAATGATAGCACCGTAGTTTATCCTTGGCACAAATGGCAAGCTGGTATAAATACATCGTTCAATGAATCATTCGATATTTGGGTAGTTTTAGAATTCAACAGTCAACTCGCAATACTGTCTGCCTCTAATCAATCAACGTTGCCTCTTCCTAATGAATCAAAACAAACATTCATTCCAAATATGTTGAACACATTTATTGCAATCCTTATCGTTTATATTCACTACTGAACTCCTACGTTGAGTGAATGTAGTCAGATTTTGTGCTAACATGACTTTTTAAATAAATATTTTTGCGCAAAATATAGATATCCCACTCGTTTTGACTAATAGCAGATAAATTGTTTTTAATTAGACCGAGACTACTTTGCAGATTCCTATTTGGATATTGTACGTTGTCTATCTAATAACAATAATATTCAATGAATGGTATTATCAGTCATAAAATTCATCATCATTTTCATATCGATGTATAAAGTGTTTGATTAAAATCATTTCGGATAACATAATGATTGATCCAATGCACGTAGTCGTATCGATCTATTACGCGAATTTACAAGGAACGAGTACTATAAAACCGCTTTTCGTGAAAAAGTATAATAATAATAAGCCCTTTTTCAGTGAAAAATTAAAGCGTGTGCACGTAATTTTATTTGTGAGTCAATAAAAAATTCGCGCTCGCATCCACATTACGAACCGTCGCATTTATTAGTCAGAGAAAAAAACATGTCGACTTCCTTTGCGTTCACGTCTGGTCTAAGGTAAGCAACAGAGACATTATAAGATTGTGAATGTAGACGAAATAAATAACATCAAAAAAAGAAAAGATAATTACGGTGGAGAAATTACTCGCAGGTGTGTAGAACAGCTAACACACAATCAGAGAAAATGACGCATTTGTTTCTTGCTTGTTTACATTCACATTTTATGAAACATACCTGTCAGAAATATGATTATGCAACAACACGTGAGGGTTTATATTGGAAAAAAAGAAAAAAAATCATACGTACCTTCATCTTGCATTTACTACTGTCGGGGGGCAGCATAGAAAAAGGTAGGTTAATATCAAATTCAATATTTCAGCCATAAAAACAATGTAATATTCGTGATGTGCAAAGTTGGTGAGGGTGCAAGAGTGCGTGTAGAAACCGGGCGAAGTGTGAATGCTGGTATGGATCTTGTTTTCAGCAAAACTCATATCATCAACCACACCCAAAGAGATTCCTCGAGTCTATTTTCATTGTGACAAATATTATAATAATCGCATAAAATGGTATGTACATCACTAATTATTTCAATTTATTTACAGTTCGTTCTCAACTTTCACCATATGGCTGCATCATCATCATCGAATAAACAACATTTGCTGATTGAGTATACACCAAAGGAAATTGAGCCTAATGTCCAAAATTTAAACGATGTCGAGTTCATCTATTTGCATTCTAATCATTCTGAAACACAAGAAAATAATGTTGACTCTATCGGTCAAATCTCAATGGTACTTCAGAAGATGGAACACCAAGTTAAAGAATTTAGTGATATCGAGCAGTGCTTGGATTATATACGTGAGCGACCTAATTCTAAGTTTTATCTCAACGTGTCTAATGATCTGGATGAAGATAAAATGTCGACTCTCAAGGAATATTCTCAAATTCGTTCTATATTTCAGTTCACGGTTTCATCTCGACGAACTCAACCAGAAGATAAACTAGCTGATTATCAATTGTCAAACCCCTTGATCACTGAAATGTCTAGCTCGTGCCATAAACTAATGGATTCTTCTATATTGTCCAATATCGAATTCACAGCTGTAGAAAAGTTACCATCACATGATTTTATTATTGACAGTCGTTTCTTAATTCAGTATCGAATAACAATAGAAATTTTACTTCGTATTCCAATTACTCCAGAAAGTAAAACGGATTTTACCGATTGGTGTCGTGAAAACTATTCTACAAATTCAAAAGACATAGAAGCTATCGAACTGTTCGATTCTAAATTCAAAGTTGGTCAAGCAATTCTGTGGTATACGAAGCAATCATTTGTCAGTCGCATATTAAATCGAACTTTTGCTAATGATGACATTCGATTAATATTTAAAATTCGCTATTTCATATTTCATCTCTACAGTGAATTAAAAACACTGTATGAACGATTTTTCGAGATTTTAAATACTCAAATTACTGTATATCGTGGTAAACAGATGCCTGCCGATGAGTTTCAAACATTGGAGGCAAGCATTAATAAGCTTGTCATTACAAAATGTTTCTTATCAACATCGTTAAATAGAGAAGTGGCTCTATTATTTTCTGGAAGGGAAGAGGTACCAACAGGTTATGTTGCAGTTATATTTCGTATGATTATTGACAAGACTATCAATAGGATTAAACCGTTTGCATTTATTCGACTTGAAAGTGCTATGGCAGATGAAGATGAATTCCTGCTTGGCATTGGCATAATATTTCGAATTCAAGATATCATTCAGATCACGGTATGTTGAATGTCTAATCAGATTTCGGTTCCCATTAATTATTGTAGGAAAACACGTTCGAAATTGTATTAGTCTACACTAGTGAACAGGAGAAAATTGAAGAAGAGATGATTCGTTCGAAAACTAGCTATTTAGAACAAGCCCAACATATTCAATCAATTGATGATTTTGATTGTGTTATCTCTGACGTTATAAACTCGCTAAACGAACCGAAGATAGCATCGTTGTCTGCAATTCAAGATGATGGACGCAGTAAGAGATACCGAATGATATGAAATCTATTTATAGATTTTCATATCATAGATAATCTATCAATCGAATCTTCATCGGGACCCAAACCACAACAGCAAACGATACAACTTGAAAACAGTAAGGCATTGTGCATTTTTTTCTCCTATATATGAGCGTACCGAGTATCGATATTGTTTCTTTCATAACAACAATGTTTATGTAATTCGAACATTTTATTGTGAAATGTTAATATATTCAACTAGATCAACTGTACATATTATTTTATTTACATATTGTAGAACGTCACGCTGAAATCCGTCCATCCTTCGCAACATATTCGTTAGTAAATGTGAAACGTTTATGGTTAGATGTGAATAGACTTCGGTCTTTTAATTATGGCAGTCCTGAATCTCGTATTTTTATACTTGATTCGTCACCTTTTGATGAGGACGAGGAGTCTGATCTACCAGTCCAATGTCACATCATCGGTCGAATATTTCCAAGCTCGCATATCTATAATAAAGTAGCTTATCAAATTCGAATAGACGTACCTCAATGCTATCCATTTGAGCCTCCAAGTGTGTACATTCTTGCGCCAATATACCATCCAAATGTGTGTAGAAATGGTCAGTAAAAGTCAAAGAAGAAAACACTTAAATATCTCCTTTGAAGAATTTATTCTAGAATTACAGATTCTTTTTGTTTTGTGTAGGTAAAATCTCATTAACTATATTGGAAAATCGTGGCAACTGGTTATATACCTTCAACCTAGTAGACGTCATTCATTGGACAGTGGATCTTATTGATAATCCTTGTTCAGATTTTGTAGTAAATCCTGGTCAGCTATTTTTATACATCTCACCTTAGATTCTCATTCAACCTTTAATTGGTTTTCATTTTAGAAGCTGGAGTTTTATATGATCATAACAGAGATGAGTTCAATCGTGTAGCATCGCTATGTGCAAAAAGGCATGCGTTGCCTCGAGTTTGATTAAAAATTATCATACATGACTGATTTTCTATATATTTTTATGTCTATAAATTCTATTCCAGATTTTTGAAAAAATGTACTTGCATACTTTACTTTAAGTTTATTTACTTTCTCTAGATGCCTATCGAAATTGTTTTATGTCTCACTACTGAAGATATCTATGTGATATTTATATCAAACATATGAAAATAAATGACAAATTTAATACTTTGCCTTTCTTAACTTAAAATATACAGTAAATCTTTTATCTTGAATCGTATTCATAGTTTGGATTGAAAAAATACATCCATACGTATAAATAAGATTGGTATGATTGAGACAACAAAGTGTCATCTGACATAGATGAAAAAATATTTAAAAAAATGTTATCATCATTGATAATAAAAATTTGTCGTATTGTTATTCTACTTCCATATGTATGTGCAAATATTCGATGTCAATGTAGGTGTGTGAAAAGCAACGGCGAAATAGTCGTGCATGGAGAAATCACTCGAGATCCATATCCAAATGAGTGTATTCGTGATTCAGATTGTGATCCACTTTGTAAAACTATATTGGCTGAAGGAAACGTATGCGCTGTTTCTGGTACGTGCTTCAGAAATAAGTCACTATTACAATTCATACGATTATTAACGCCAAAAATATCACAGAAAAGCAAATAAAAATGCTAATACACATTTATTTATTTCAAAGTACAAATTGTGTTTTGACGTTATTTGTTGTGTGTATGATGAAATTTGAATAAATAAATAGTGTGATGATTGAAAAAAAAACTGGGGTGTGATTGAGGATGCAGGTTCATCTTAGCATAAGAGACCAACATCCACACTATCAAGTGCATGCAGGCAGAATTTATAAGGTGAACTATGCTCTTTTTACAATTTAAAATAAGCGCTGTTTCATCGAAGGAAGAAAAAAAGCTCCAAGGCGATAATGTCAATAAACTTGTTTTTTAAGAACGAAAAGAAAGTCTTTCTAAAACGTTTTTATCAGCACAAACGACGCACATTTTATGGTAGAAAAATGTGCTGCTATGTGAATCAATAGCAGTTTTCGTGGAACTCGCATATATTTCCGAGAACAGTAGTAAGTAGAAATTTAAATGGAGGCTTTTTTGGCTCCATTTTCTTCCTAATACAATGGCGATCAGAGTGAAGACAGGAAAGGTGAGCACACGCGACAAAAATACCAATAATTATTGGGTGTGCTTGAATTCTATTCTACAGTTACCTAGTAGTGTAGACATATCTTAAAGGATACAAACAACACTGAGATTGTTCTAAGAATAACTAAAGTAGTCCTATGAACTCTCTCTATAATATCGAGTTCGATTTTACTAATGAAAAAATCTACATTCAAGATATCAAACTGGATTGATAGTCTTATTTTGATGTGTCACAGTCGTTATAGGATATATTATAACTTCAGGAAATAAGTAATATTAGCATTGCTGAGTTTATCGATACGCACAATTGATATACGTACAAGAGGTTTATTTGTTGTGCCCGTTTAATGATCCGAAACTTTTCATTTTTCGGGATTGCCATGTAATCTGAAGTTATCAATTGAAAACAAGTCTATGCCTTGAAATTATCTTTCAACTTTAGAACATCCTACGATAAATAGAATCTATTAAGCAAGATTCTGCAAACTTAGTCTTTAGTCTCACCAATATCCAGTTCACCAGTGAATTTATTGGATGCAAACTAAGCTGCATCCCGGAAGGCTTTTTCGAAAATTAAACGTTCATATGCTATCTGATAGTGACTTTCGTTTTCGTTAGTAGATAAATATTCAAACGAATCAAAACGATGAGCTTGAGTACCCATTACTTAGCTTGTCGAAAGGGAGATCTGTCGACAATCGAACAAATTCTACCCAGTTTATCTCTCGACGAAATAAACCAGATCGAGCCTAATGGGAGCACAAGTCTACATGCAGCTTGCTTCTTTAACCATCCTCAAATCGTCAAGCTGTTGCTTAAACATGGAGCCTCAAGGACGGTATTGAACAAGTATGGAAACACACCTCTGCAAGAAGCGATCACCGACGAGATTAAAGAACTCTTTTATCGCAAAGCAGCTGATGCCCAGGGGCGGTTTACAACTGATCTTACCCCAGATGCGATGGAATGGGTATCTGTGGAAAATGGCATATACGGTTGGCGGAATAAACAAAAAATATCTGGCATGAATGTAGTTAAAGCCGCTGATTGTATTACTCATGATAAACGTTTTTGTAATGCGGCTGATATGAATAAGATCAAGTACTTTCTTGACAAAGCAAGACAGACGCAAGATCCGCATTGGCTACTGAAGGCCTACACGGCCGGAGCAGATTTGTGCCGATCTATTAACAAAAGCCTGGCAAGCAGTCCATCGGACATCTATGCATCCTTTATGGAAGAAGACTTCTACTCATTTGTTGGCTGCTTCTTTCATCATGAAGCCTTAAAGAAGTATCGATATAGTGGAAAGTGCTATCGTGGCCTGAAGTTGGCTAGAGAAGATTTTGAAAGTAACTACAAGCCTGGCGGGCAACTCTTGATAAAGCCATTCATGTCGACATCAAAGCAGCTTCGTAGTGTAGCTGAGAATTTTGCGTTATCTCCTTCCGATGATCCAAATACACTTTCTGTTCTATGCATTTACACGATACCAGAACGTACACTCTTGTTTCGTGACAACGTGGCTTTGGACATATCCTCTATCTCCGAGTACCCACATGAACAAGAAGTCCTTATCTTACCATATACTTCGTTGACAATTCTAACCGCCAGTCATGTCTTATCTGGGCTCATAGAAATTGAATTTGAATGGTTTTCTTTCATGCAATATCAAAAGTGACCTAATTGAATATTTTTGTTATTTTGGGTGCGATTGAAGGAAGTTTGGCTTTGAGATTTATTATTCCATATGCACATTACTCATCACAAATGGAACACAAAAATTCCAAATATTTTAATCACATATATTTATCAAACATGCTTTTGAACGAACGCATATATATATATATGCTGAAAAGTTTTCTAATATAGTAAATTGATAGAATATTGAAGTAATTATGATTGCTACACAAAGTTATAAGAAATAACTCCTAGTTATAACTTTGAATTAAGTTAGAATCTAGAATCATACTAAAAGAAATTTGACTTATAGCACACTAATCAATATATTGTTCCAGATCTCTCAATGTTTGAGACCAATTGAAACTACTTGTTACGTCTATATAATCAATAAGATACGCTTATAAAAGGTATAGCTATAAAATATTCACGATGTATCTGTAGTTACTAAATTACATTGGGAATATTCCTCGTTATTTTCAGTTGATAAGAAATCAATAGTAGAATCGTCTCGCTTTATGCTTGCAAATTCTTCGCGTCTGTCTCTCACTCATCGTTATAAAAATGAAAAAACGCCTGAAACATTATAAAGAGAAAAAAAGAATTGTATTACACTGTCTTTCAAATTCGATACTCAAATATGTCCACCAACACACTATGCAAGAAAGATATATAAATACGATTTTTTTAATGAAAAAGAAGTGATAAAATGAATGAAAAACTTGATGATATTAAATTAGTTAGCTGGTTATAACTATGTTTGTTTTTTTTGCAATTTTTCTCAAGTTTCAACTTTAACGCATTATTGTTGTTTGCAGTTTTCACTTTTTCTGCTCTCTTACATAGACGAAGAAAAATAAAATTCCGTTCGCATTGATTTGTCATGCTTATTTTCTTTTTTTTTGACGTATTTGTTTCTCTCCTGTGTGTAAAATATTATATTTACTATTAAGAAAGTTTCGAAACACGTTTATTTCTACTTGTTGCTGTCAAATAAAATTATTTTCTATATGCCACAAACGATTTTCGACCTGTTTCCAAATGAATTGCTCTACGAAGTTTTTCAATACTTAACAACCTATGAAATACTATACGGATTTCAAGGATTAAATAAACGTATTGATAAACTTCTGAGAACATGCGCTAAATATAATCTTAATTTTAAATCTTGGCCAAAATCTAAATTTGATTTTGTTTGTCAATCAATTAATCCCGAACAAGTTCGATCATTAATATTGTCCGATGCTGATGATACATGTTTACAAATCCATTTATTTTTTCGCTTAGTCCCTGTTCAACGACTGGTTAATCTTGAATCATTAATATTAATCGAAACTAATGAACAAGAATTAAGTAGAATCGTAAAAAAATTAGCCTGCTTTCAAAACTTTCTAATTTATCGGTAGAACTTGCTCATGGTTTAATACCTAAAATAATAGTACCACCATTAAAATATTTATCAATTGGCATCTGTTCAATGAGTCAGTTAAAAGAAATTTCATTCTCTACACCCATATTAACAAAATTAAATGTTCAATTGATTGCTGATACTACTCCTGCAGACGACACTCTTCTTCTTTCGAGTGAAGTTCGTCAATTAAAAATTGAACTAGCCAAAAAATCCAATATGAAATATGATGATATTCAACTTTTGTTTGAATGGATGCCGAAATTAGAAAAATTTACATTCATTGCAGCAAAAGGGCTACCATTCATTGAGGGTGATCAATGGGAACATCTAATTCAAAGATGTTTACCAAAACTAAAAGAGTTTCATTTTAAAATTCATCCACATTTCCTTCACACAAACGTCGAACAATTATTACGAACATTTCAAACTGAATTCTGGTTAAAAGAAAAGCAATGGTTTATTTATTGTGATCATCATTTTCATTTAAATTTTCGTCACTTTGGTTTACAACATGTTCATTTGTACACTTTGCCATACAGGGATAAACAATTCTGTTTAAGTTTATTAACAGAAGCCACAACAAAAGGTTGCAAAGATAAATATTCAAGCATAAAGAATTTATTTTTTGCAATTAATTCTCGATACAATACGGAACTTAATCAACATTATTATTTTCCTAATCTTGATTCGTTAACTATTTGTAATTTACATAAATTAATACCCATTGATAATCTTATCGATTTATCACAAGTCAAACATTTAACTGTGACGCGAAATAATGACATAAATTCTGAAGAATTTTTCTCGTATACATTAGTACATTCTACAAAATTAGAATCACTGACATTATCCTAGTGTACACTGGTACAAATAACAAAGCATTTTACTGATCACCAAGTATGCTCATTGCTAAAAAACAAATCAAAAATTTATATTTATTGAATATGACAGCAAACTATGATGAAGACAAAAGTATACTTACAGAAATACTCATTAAACTATTTTCAACAAATTTAGAAAAGCTAATCATGAGTGTAGCTTCCATGGGCGATATTCTCTTAATAGTAAATGAAATGTTCAATTTATATAGTATTAAAATAGAATGTAGTCCATTAATTACAATGATGAACAAGAATGGATTATCGTTGTGGCTTAGACAAAATGTTCCAAGATTAAAAAACTTTACATATCAGACTCAATTAGGAATGGGAAAAAGAGTCTACTTACTTTTGTGGATTAGTAACTAGTTGATATCGAAAATAAAATATAATAATTTAGTGGATCAAATGTGTTTCCCTAGTATCATATTTCATTTAGCCGACTTCAAACGACTTTTGAACCTGAGGGTGTGGGTACATTTGTCAAGCTGTTTTAATTTCTATTTTGAGGAAAATCAACTTTAATCCTTTCAATTCTGAAATTTTCTTGAATTCTGTATCAGATTCATTTGTGTTCGAATTATCAATTCATTAATGAAATTTAGTAAACTTAGAACTGCATGTAAGTTTATCAGTAGACTGTCGAAATTCAAATAGAACTGATGTTTGAAAAATATCTTTCTAACTGAGATTTTAGATGAAAAACCCATCTGTCGGTGTCTGTTTATCTTCTTAGATGCTAAATATATGTATTAATATTTGAGAGTTTTCTCAAGCAATGTTACGAATTAACAATATATTGAAAAGAGATTTTCAGCTTGCTTGGTTAATAGAAATTGAACTAGTCATTGTTAGTATATCCGGTAAAAGTAATATAGACTGTACAGTCTTTCCTGGCAGTTGCTTTTACACTTCATCGACACGACCAGTAAGATAATCTAGTGTCGAAGAAAAAGAGAAATCTGATGACAAAATCAGAATTGTTTTTAAAGCACCAACGGACTCTTTTACTCGTTAATACTCTATCATCATACTTACTCTTTCTTCTCAGACGTCACGATCATTACAGTCAAAGCTAATGCAATTGCTATTACTTAATACCATTATAGCATGAGTATGATGAAACAATAGGTCGGTTGTTATCATTTATTACGCCATGCTTCAGCGTATATAAAAAAAAAGAACAGAACAAAAAGATTAGAATAGCACTGTCAATATCGACTTATCAAAGTGTAATAAAACAAAACAGGGAGTAAGAACGACCAAGATTTTCAGTAAATGACTATTTTCGAAATATAAATAATTGTTCGTTCGCGAAGATTAATACAAGACCAAACATTTTCACAGATACATCGCCTACAGTGATACTTGTTTTTTTTCTCTTTGATTTTATAGGATAATGTGGCATCCGGATGATTTTATATTTGTACCTGGTCAAACGCCATTAACTTCTCTCCGATTTCTTATATTTATTTTCATTTTTCATTTCATCATCACATGTGCTCTGGAAATTATCATGACTCGTCGAGCCAAACCAATAGATGTGCGGCGTATTCAACGTTATAACAATTTATTGATTGGTATATATTCAGCCGTCACTTTTGCGTTAGCTAATATTCTAGCATATCGAGATAGCCGATTTGATTCATGGGATCGATTAGTATGTCACAGACCGACTCCAAAGGGTGCCTATGCTCTTCTTTGGTATATCTTCTATTTAAGCAAGCTATGGGAATTTCTCGATATTTACTTGGTCATTTTAAATAAAACACCTGTACTAATGCATTTTCGTTGGCACCATCAAACAACACCATCGGTTGTATTAGCTGGTTTACTTGGTGATGTGTCATATGAATGGCCAACACTTGTTTGCAATTCTCTCCTGCATACATTTATGTATCCACATTTTGCTGGTGTTTGGAATGTACATCGAATTCTACTTGTACTAGGTGCTTCGCAATTGCTTGCTGGTCTCGGTTTTAGTATCTATGCATTAATAGTTGGCTGTGGTGGGTCATTTTACGCTCAAATATGGGGTCTATCGATGTGTATAACTTATACAATAGGTTACCTGAATGAACATTTTCATCTAGTTGATCGTCTACGAGTTTTTATTTCAGCTTCTCGTAATGATTCGAAACAATCTTAATTATTTTCCTACTAAATGACTAAAAGAGATTATGAAAGATTTTGTTCCTATCGCTTCTAGTTCAATTGACATTAATTTAGTATAATACGATTTCAATTCATGTCTTTGATTTGATCTCGAATTCGACCTATCATACTTCGATTTTGTCGGTGTGTGTGTGGGGGTGTATCAATGACATGATCACACCCAAAAATTATTTCGCTTTAATTGGTTGCTTCAAGGCATAAGTTGAAATTAGTAGATTCATCTATATTATTAAAAGAGATACATCAATCTGTTTTCAATCCATTGATTAACACCCTTCTTTCTTATTATTGTTTTTTCTTTGCTGATCTGATAAAGCTAATTTTGATAGAAGACGGAAACTAGAATTCATCAAGAGCTAGTCTTCAGAGATGAGAAGGAAACAAAAGAAGAATGCAATGTGAGTTCCTTTTTTACAAGTTATGCTTTTCTTTAATGTATATTATCAAGCGAAGTACAACATGAATTTCCGCCAGTCTTTTCTTTCCTTGGTTCTTCTTTATGTTTTGATGTTAACACTATATTGTCAGATTCCTTTAATCTATTCACTAAAACATTATTATTCAGTATGGATAACACCAATTGGTTGAACATTATCTGTACATTTTTTCCTGTAATTGCCGATGTATAAAATAAGGACATGTTATTTCTTATTGAAAATTGTTCTGCATCTTTATATATTTCATCTGTTAAATCGTCAATTAAATCAGATTTATTGCAAAGAATTACTCCTTCAAATATATCATATCCGTATTCTTTTAATGCAGGGTACCATATTTTTTCAATGTTTTGTAATGTTTTAGGGTTAGTTACGTCACACACAAGTATAGCACCATGACATTGATATTGACTTTTCCATAAATCCTTCCATTTTAGCTCACCTGGCAAATCAAATAAAACTATGGAAACAGCATAACAATTTTTAAATAAACGATTTAAATGTAATGATATCATATCAGGCCCAATGGTCGCAGCATATACCTTGTTCGAAATTTGATCTTGAAATTGTAAATATTTGAGAATTGATGTTTTACCTACATAACGATCCCCTAATAGGCAAATTTTAATAAGTAATTGACAGTAATTTTTATCTTTAAACTTCTGCGGTAATGCTCCAGTCTTAATTTCTAACGCTGTTGACATTTCTTGATAGTGCTGCGCTTTTGTCTGTTTCTCGCGAAATTCTTCGATAGCATTCTTTAAACTAATATTTATAACGAACTCCTTACTTTTTAATACTTTATTAGTCATTGGGGATGTATTCTTATTTATCAGCCAACGTTCTAATGAAGCCTTTTCATAGCTACGTCCATCTTCAATTAGTATAACAGGGATGTTCATAATTTCAAGTGTTATTGGACAAAGATAATCGTTTGGTATATTCATTTTTCCTTTTGGTTTTAATATAATGATGAAAAACTAATGTTTGCTCTATTTAATATAGAAAAAAGTCTGATATTTACAAGTAATAGATAGTTGTAAATGCTTTGTTGAGTTCTCTATTTATATAATTATTATCGTAAAAGAAAAATATTATCTTTTTTCTGCTCTTCCTTTAAATAGACTGGAAATAAACTCTTATCTCGATTACTCATAGCATGTTATTTGCGAGTATCGGTGTGGATGTGGGGCAGTGTTTCCAATGGCAAGTGTACACAGCAGAAGTAAAATGTACAGAACATCTGCTACTTTTGATTTCCACTCTGCTATACACTTGTCCAGAAAAATAAAGTGTACAATGTACACTGCGCTAAAATAGTTTACACTCTGATTTCTTTGATCTCTGAACCTTAAAAGCCGCATATAGTTTTAAATTAATTAAGTATGATATTTTGGTTTTGTTTCATGAGATAAAAAATAGCGAAAATTATATTTTGTTTTCTAGATTGTGAAAATTGGGCTTTTGTACACTGTGATACACTTTGCTCATAAAAAACAGAGTGTACAGTACATTTTGTTTTAGATTTCCATTTGAAACACTGGTGTGGGGGAGGGGGAGGGTGGGCGTGGCTGTTATGAAAAAGACATGAACATCCACATTCGCACCCACAAGTTTTCAGTAGTGCAAAGTATACTGCAAAAAGTAAATGACTTATATTTAATTGAGCAATAAAAACTATAGAATGAGCAATATATATATATATATATATTGAGTGAGCAATAATTAATTAAAATGAAGCGTAAAATGTATATAAAAGGGCAATAATAACTCGTTTTTTACAACAATAAACGTTTTTTTTATCCTCATGAAATTTATATATAACTTTTTTACATGACTCAAGCACAACTCATAGCACACTATTTTTTGTGTACTCAAAAAGTGAGTACACTCTTGAATCGGTCAGTGGTCCGTCCGTCCTTCGGTAGGCATGATAACTTTTGAAAGGAGAGTCAGATCGTGATGAAATTTTCCACATAGTTCAATCTCATGAATATCTCGGTTGAGTTCGAAGATAAGAAGGATCCCTCAAGAAATGGTTGAGTTATCGAAAAAATTGTCATTTTTGACCAGACCATCCCTGAGGAGGGAGGGGTACAGGGATTTTTTTCAAAAAACAAATTTTTCTCAGAATTATTCACAACATATATAAATCGACTCAGTTTTTAACGCTGATTCCGAATCTGATATTAGTTTTGAACTAAATCGTAGCTTTCTAACGAAACATCGACTGAAAAACGTCTCAAAATGCATAAAAACTGCATCCAGAAATCAAATTGCCTAGTTTCTCACGATAATTTTGGCGTTCAGACATTCTAGAATGACTCATGTCCCATGCACTTTTTGCAGTACACATAACTCTCGGATGAAATCCGAAGTTTCCACATTAATTTGTTATATTGTCAATTATAAATAAAAATAATGCACTTCTATCTTTTTTTTGTTGCTCAAATATGAAATTAATATTGTTATATAATAAATTATTTATTGCTCATTTAATATCAAAATATTGCTCATTTAATATCATAATATTGCTCATTTCATATTATAATATTGCTCAGATAAACATTTTTTATTGCTCAAAAATTATTGCTAAATCATGTTTTTATTATTGTTCATTCTATATTTTTTATTGCTCAAATAAATACAAGCCAAAGTAAATTATTCTCTTCTCGATTGCATGTTACTTCTATTGATTTGCATATTTTTATATTGATTTATCTGGCTTATTTTACTACAACTCCTTATCATTCACTATTTACAGGTTATTCATTCGATAATAAATAATATCAAGTCAATGTGATTACGGTGACATTTATGCATTAAACTGTGACAATCATCATCTTTTCTTATCTGTTATAATGTATAGTACTTTCTGTTTAATAATAAATAAAAAATAGTGAAAAATCTTTGCCTGGTTTCACTTGCTCATTTCTTTCTTTTTTTTTAACATATAATATTTTTATCGTGCCATTAGTGGTTCACATGATAAAAAAGAAATCGAAGGAAAAAAATTAATGACAACAATAGAAATAGAAAATAGCGCGATCATATTAAACAGTACATGCTGGATTTGTCCCAGAAAAAGACAGTCACAATTAAAGAGGAAAGACAAGATATACTACGAAAGACATCAAGGAGGATTGTTTCTGTGAAAAGAAAAATTCTTAGGACATATTAGTGGGTGGAACAGCAAACGAATAGCAAAAAAGATTTGCTTCTAATACGAGCTACTTCGTTTAACGAAAATATTATATCAGGTACTGTTCCTGCATAAAAAATATTTATATATCTAGTATTTATTCTAAGATATTCTTTATGTAAATGATAAACACCTTCGAACTCACGCCACACGGATAATGTGTGCTGCGCTCGTGATTTCAATCTCCTAGGAAATAAACTCCTCTTATTAAACCCCATATCTTTATACCAGCTAATATCATTAGACGTTGCGGTCATTTAGGTTTGCCATGTCTGTTGATACGCTAAAACATCGTGTGATCTTTCAAGATGTAAACTAAATTTAGACCAATATATGTGTAAATGGTCAATAAGAGATTTTCCACTACTTAGAATAAGCGCAGTCTCATCATCCCAACGAGTTAAAGAGAAAACGTGTTTTATACCAGAACAGTACACATGTTCAAGGTACCTTCTTTGTCTTTCGGTAAAGAAAAACCAGGTAGCGAATAACCAGGTGAAATGTGGCATCGCGAAAGTCAAAAAAACTCTCTTTCGAACCCAAATATTATATTTGGGAATGGAGCGAAAGAGAATTTTCAGTCTTCTATACACGGTTCTTATCTTTTTAATTCTTTCGCTTATGTAGGTACTCCATCCAAACTTGGTGGAGATCATTACGCCGAGATATTTATAATTTTTAACGATTTCTATAGGTTGACCTCTAAATTCTAGGTTCGGTTTCGGAGTTGCAACGAAGTTATGCACTAACAGTGCCTTCGTCTTATTTATATTAATCGGCAAAAAAATGTCGTCGGAGAATTTCCCTAATCGTTCTAACGTTACTTTTGCTCTTACTTCTAATTCTGATATGTTTTTCGAGAACTTTTTATCTAAATCACCAGAAATCTGAATCGCTAAGTCATCAACGAACATGTGTGATGTGAACGCAAGGAAGCGGGAGAGAAGAAAATGTACGTGCAGGCGGAACAATGTTGCTGCCAGCACGGGTCCCTGGGGCGCACCGACAAATATGGGAATCGTACGTGAATAGGCTTCCCCGAAGTTAATCGAGAGAGTACGATTTTGAAGCTAATTGTAAATCCATTTGAGGAGTGCAGTCGGCATTCCCAATGTTTTCACTCGCTCATTTCCTTGCAACGAATCAGCATGATCTACTAGAATTCTATTGTTTTATCGTTTGTATTCAAATATTGTAAATGCTACATTTTATTCGTAGTAGAATGTCAGAATTTTGAATCAAAGTACGACCGCATGAACAATACGGCTGAAATTTGATGCAGCTAAAATTAGTTATTTTCTGCTTATGTAGAAATTGATGAGTTAAAAAGAAAGTCGTAGATTCGTTTTTCACGTTCCGTCAAAAGCAAAATCAATATAGTCAAGAAATACAAAACACACTTCTTTTTCCGAATGTGGGTGGCTTTATTTATTTCTTTACTTGTCGTCACTAGTTTTAATCCTTATTATTTGCCTATGTTTTCAAGATACAGCACTATATCATTAAAATGGCGCACGGACAGGGAAGTGAACAAGTGGTTATGGTGGATGATCTTAGTTTGCCTAGTTCTAAATGGTCGTTGCTAAAGGCAGATCCACAAATAAAACAAACTCAGAACAATCTTCAAATTCTAATTAGCGTGCTTCTCGTAAGTTTTTGCTTACATTTTGATTGCACAGAAATGACGAAGATACGACTTTGCGCTCTGCTTCAAGCATAAATCGATAGTGTACTGTGTACTAATGGAACTACAAAAGCTTGAATTGAAAACAAATCACTCATTTATATATTTTTATCCTAAAACAGATCCATTGTACTGTGATCGAATGGTTTTCCGAAAAATAGTCTTTTAGCTCGAATTCATGAAACGTAAATTGCATATAGTGCGATGAGCATGAAATTGAATATGTTTCTTTTTGGATAATTAACTGAATCTGCAAGAATCCATCTAGCCACAACTGATTTGCTAGGGAAATTTTCAAATTCGATGAATCTGTTTTTCATTCTTACAATTTATGAATTTTTTTAGACTCTTAGTGTGATCGGTACGATTCTTACGATTGTCGATAGTTTAGCAGGGTATGATAGAAACATCTCTCTACGCGTTGCATCCATGGTTCGACCACTTCTGGCACTTATTTTGCACGGCTTCGGGTTTTCTGTGACATACCGATATAATGAACTAGGTTTACTAGCGGTATGTAAATGATTCTGTGTTTGACTTTTATTAATTAATAAGATAGAAATTTGATGAACATAACAAAGAAGTCTCTTTCGCAAGGAGATCCAGATCAAATACGATTTTCAACTACAGAACTACTGCTTTAAAACTTGACTATTTGAAAATATCGCAATGTAGTCGTTCAGATTAATTTTTGAGCGAGAAAAATAGGTGACTAAGTTTAATCAAATCTCTCATCATAAGATGTACCAATTATTTATAAGACTTCCCGACATCTTATGAAACATTTATCTACAAGAATGCATAAACTTTTTTCCCGATTGTGATATTTGCCGAAAGAAATTTTAGTGAGACATTACTTCTACGGGTATCTAAAGAATACAAAGTCATATCTAAACTATGATCAACGATAAACTTTCTGAGTCACAGTGCTAAAATGTATGAGAGAAACAACTGTTTAGAGATGTCTCTTCTTTTTGTAATATCTCGGATACATGAATCCATATACGAGAATACGAGGAAGCAATATTTATGAATATTACTATTGTCAGAAGATCTTCTGATAAATGTGGGTCATTTTTAGTTTGCTTGGCTTATATTAATTGGACTGTTCCTTTTGGGTATGCGATTGGAATTTCTCTTGGTTAGCCTGATAGTTTCAGCTTTCTCAAGTACTGGCGAAGATGCGAGATACAGACTCGTTTCTACTGGCGAATCAATAGCTTCCTTCTTCGCTGCTCTTATATACGTTGTCGTGTTTATTCTTACAGTATGTATTTTATTTTACTCATCGTCTTTGGTATTATATTAACTATTTTACAATCTAGATTATCGTTCCAATACTTGCTTTCAAATTGGCAAAACTGATCCGTATGAAAAAATCCGAAACAATGACGCCAAGCTAGCTCTTCATGATCTCAACATTCGAGCCATATTTCACTTTTCCTGAGTTGTTTTCCGTGCTGTGTCTCATTTACGCATTCCTTCTTTCTTAACAATACAAAAATAAATATCCAAAATAATTTAGTTTTCAATCACGTGTTGAACAAAAAAAAGTAGTTTATCCATAGAGACTAAACTGAATACCGAATGCAAGTGTCTTTCATTTGCGTGATATCAAGAGAGAAAGATGAATGCTTTTCTTCTTGTTTAAACCGTTCAATCTATGAAATGTGATTTTGGTAAAATTCATTTCATTGTTTAGAAAAGCAACTTTTGAAACAACTAAACCGTGATCTTCGATAGACTTACATCGAGTCAGTAGATTGAAGAACTGAAATTGTAGTTTTAATTAACTTCTTTCTGTTTGATGAATGTCAAAGAACATACATGAAATTATTCGACACCTAACTGAACTTCCATCATGACTCTTTAAGATATGTTTTATTTCTGTCTAAAAAGACCATCGATTATTCATTCGATATTTATTGAAAAGCCTCAATAATTAATTGATTCTTTGCTTCGATGCGAAATATTTTGTTTTTAGTAAAGATTATTATTTAATTCTGAAACAGTGTTAATTTACTTCGAATTAGAAAACAAAGCTAAATTGTCATGATATAAAAAGTATTCGTATAAGAAAAAAATTGAAACAAGAATAATTGACAAATAGATTTCGTAGCTTTAGTTATTATATTGTTCCTGTCCTACCGCTCACCAGAGTAGAGAAAGTTAGCAGAACAGGACAGCCCATGTCAATGATTCCGGAGGACGGATACTGTAGGAACTGGCAGGAAAGATGCGGAAAAATCACCGTATCTGGCCGGAAAGCACTGGAAACTGGAAGCAGTATTCCAGTTGGAAGTTACCGGATTTTTTTCCTGTGGATTCCGGTCAGTTTCCTGTGTTTTCCGGTCAGTTTTCTGTGTTTTACATCTGGAAGTTGATCGGAATCTACAGGAAGAAAATCCGGTAACTTCCAACTGGAATACTGCTTCCACTTTCCAGCGCTTTCCTGTGCTTTCCGGCCGTTTCCCGCCGTACGTCCACGACCTGGGAGGGTTCGACAGAAAAATTTATCCTGTGCAAGTCTCTAATAGCCACTAGTGTTTATTGCGTTGAATGACTCAACGGTACATGGTTTAAATCTATCCCGTTCAGATTCAATCACATGAAATTCAATAGCTACTTGGTTAGTTAATCGTTTTCTGACCTATTTCAATAATTTGAGTAACATCTACGGACTTTATAATTTCTTCTAACCTACCTTACAAAATCTGACCCTTTCTTTTTATAAAGCACACATTGTAAATAGTTTTGATTTGAAGGTATTCGTCAATTGATTCATTGATACTTGAAAACATATTCCCGCTAGTCATACCAATTATGATTCCATCAAATCGCACATTACGCAAATCCAGGTTTCATATTGACACTAAAGGTTTTCATCAACTAATGTCGGATTTTTACCTTCTGCGATCGGGATAACAATATACTTAGAATCGTTGAGGAACTTTAGTATCGAAATAGTTTATTAAATGAATAAATATTTAAACTCAGTTTTTTATGAAAGAAACCTTCTGAAATTACTGACAAGAGTGTTATACTAGAATTTTCAGTTGGTTAACAAACGAAAAATATTGTCTATCCATGACAAAGTCAGAACGATACAAAGCAAATCGATCTTTTTTCATTTGTTCTAAATGAATAATTTACGAAGATATAATAGTTGACAACTTAATCTGGTTAGATCATCGGAATACAGCGCAGTTTAAATCAATTAAATTGTTGAATTTTATTAAGATTACACTGAAAAAATAAAATATGATATCGCTTCGAAACGATAGTAAAAATTAAAATAGTAAGTCAATGTTTTTCATTAAAGATTGTTATTGAAAGACTAAATATTGTTGATTCAGTGAAAATGCAGACATGAAGCACTAATAATTTAAAATAAAGATAACAGAACGCGATGGAAATCTGATGCAACGAAAATTTCTTGTAACCTCGTGATATATTTTCTTTACTGATGCACGAATTAATAGATTGAGAAGACAAGCATGTGTTAAGTGCTAATATCACGTTGATATGTGTTGGTACAATTTTCCCTAACTCCTTGTTTTATTTCCAATCTTCGAAAATCACACACACACACTCTCTGTTTCACTTCACTTATCTCTCTCATTGTTCCTGACTAAACTGCTCAAAAAGAGAAGAAAACAAACATTATAAAGACATGATCTAATCACATCCCTTTTAGCTTTTTCAGATGAGAAAAAGAAATAGAGAGAAACAAGAGTTATTCGACCAAAACAAAAGAACGACAGTATAGACGAGCAAGACAAAGAATAAACTTAAGAACATGTAACAGAACGAAAGAAAATATAATAACAAAAACACAACGCAACATGTTTTATGGTATATCATTTATGCCATAACAGCATGGCTCATTTTCTTTCGGATTCTGTAGAAATAAATCTTCACTCGGCAGGTAAAAAATGTGTCTTCTTTTTATTTTTTGCATTCTTCGTTGTCATTAGTTTCATTCTCATCATTCTATCTTTATTGCAAAGACACAACTGGATATCATCAAAATGAAACACGAACAAACAAATGAACAAGTAGCTATGATAGCGGGTCAAAGTATGCCTTCAGTTAAAACAATGTCACTAACTGGAGACCCTAAAATATCACGAATTCGTAAAATTCTTCTTCTTATACTTGGTATTTTTATTGTAAGTTTCCTTTTGTTTCACTAGGATTACAAATAAATGAAGAGAATACGAGTCTTTTTTTAAATTTTGCTCCACTTCTAAAGCAATAGTATCGTGTGTATTGCGTAAACTACAAACGATTGACTTGAAAATAAATCAGTCATTTATGCAGTTTTATACTAAAACAAATCCACTGTACTATTATCAAGATGATCTTCGGGCAAAATGTCTTTTAGCTCGAATTCATGTGAACGAACTTACATGAAATACGACGAACTTAGCATCGAGTTTGTTTCTTCCTGCAATAAACTGAGTCCACAAGAATTCCTCTAACGATAATCGATCTACTAGAGAAATTTTCAAAGTTAATGAATCTGTTTATCATTAATATTATTTACGACTTTTTTTTAGGCACTCAGTGCGATCCGTACGATTGGTACGATTGTCATATTTATAATCGGGTATAGTGGAAACCGTTCTCAAGATGCTGCCTCAATTGTTCCAGTACTTCTTACACTTTTGCTGGAAGCCTTCGGTTTTTTCGTAACATACAAATACCATGAATTAGGTTTAGTTGTGGTATGTAGATGATTCTTTGTGAATTTTTTTAACTATCTAACATAGAACTGTGATGGATTCTGGAAGAAATCTCTTTCACAATTAGACCCATTCGAAATAGCACTTTCAACTATACACATGTTTCTTAAAACTTGACTACTTTAAATGTCTCACCGTAAGATGCAACTAATTATTAGTATGACTTTCGATGACATATTTCGGGGAATATGATCTATCAAAATGCATAAATGCTTGTGCCGAATTCCATGTTTCCAGTGAAATTTGAATGAGATATATTTCTAGGCATATATAAGGCGTGCAAAGTGATATCCGAACTGTGTTCATAGACGCATCCGTATAGTTACGAGAGTACGCAGAAGCAACTTTCAAAAATATTAGTACTGCCAGAAGATCTTCTGATAACTACAGGCCATTTTAGTTTGCTTGGCTGACGGTAATTTCACTGTGTCTCTCGGGTATTGGATTGGCAATTGGTCTCTGTTTCATAGTCGCTAATATGTTTTCAAACTCGGGCAAAGGTGCAGAATACACACATGTTTCTGATGACCTACCAACATTTGTGTACTTCGCTATTCTTACAAGATTGATTGTTTTTTTTATTGTTACAGTACGTATTTTTTCTTGTGCATCATTCTCTATATTATATTGACTACTTTGCAACCTAGATTGTCGTTACTGTACTTGCTTTCAAATTGACTAAACTGATCCGTAGGAAAAAATCCGAAACCATAACACCAATCTAATTGTCTACGATTTCAATATTCGAGTCATACTAAGTTTAACTATATTTTTTTCTGTAGATTCTTATTTGCTTACTCCTTCCCTCCTAACAGTAGAAAAATAAATATTCAAGATATTTCTATTGTCAATCATTAATTAAACGAAAGAGTTATACACACACATTCATTCGTCTGATATCCAGAGGGAACAGTACTGATTGGGAGAATCGCGTATTCTCTAATCGAATTTTCCTCATGTATCTTTCAGGTATTTGTTAAAGGTGTCCATTGATGATTCATTCAATAATTTACTGAAAAATATTGCAGCTAAGGTTATGATCAAACTCAAAAATAGTGACCACTTATTACGAACTCAATAACAACTGTAAATCGATAGAAAAGGCTTGCATGACTAGTTATGAGTCTTGATATACGCGTGTTGTTATTATTTGCTGAAAGATATTGATAACCAAAAATAATTTGTTTACATCATTTATTAAACAAAGAATACTGACGAGTATTTGATAGCGTGCAGCTGGATAAACAACAGAGATTATAATCTAATTGAGTAGGTAGGAGAAATAAAAGTTTTTGATTGATGTGTATATAGTGGGTACTCTCCCTTGATTTAATAGTTCAGGCACTAAAACGACCGAAATGAAAGTCTTCGAGGCTTAATCTTAAGGATGCATTATTTCAAAATATTAAAATTCTTCGGGGTGAAATCATCTTGAAATGATGATTCACGTGTCTATTCAATTGTCAAACGAACTTTTTTTCTGGATTTCAGGTCGATTATCCATTTTTGAAGTTTTTATTCAGCAATACATAATTAGTTTGAATTTAAAATAAATGCAGCGAAGCATCATTATTCACTAGTCATTAGTAACTATTATGATATCATATATTTTATAGAGTAACCTTTCTTCAACATTGTTTGATGGTGAAAAATATTTGTTTGGTTTATGCATCTTCGCATTCACATGCACTATGCAGACGATTCAACGAAGTTTTTTTTCTTTCTATCAGACTATTATGAAAGCTATGCATTTGATAAATGATAGAATGGAAGTATTGTTAACTGTTGACGTACATTATATACCGAATAGTAGTTATTTTTGTTGATGAATAATGGCTGGATTAATATCACAAAACAAAAACTCTTCAACAAAGAAAACAAATTTCATATTCACTTTGCCATTACTTTTCCATAATATAATACACTCATATTACTGATATCATACGTTTTTCTGGTAGCTATTTGCAGCGATATGTAATAAACTGGCCGAAAAGATTCGTTTCCATTAAGCATAGTTTTCTTAATTATATTTCGTTTTCTCTTGTTCGCATATCTGCATCTGATGTCTATTTTCTATAGACTCCCACAAATATCGTAAAAGTGCAAGAGGCAAAAGAAAGTGAAAATGCCATTATCTTGGACAATACTGACACCAAAGATTATAGATACGATGAACTCGAAAAATTCTTCTGATTATACTTGACGTATGACTCACAAGTTTTCCTTTATTTTTTGTATTAAGTCAGATACATATGTGTTACATAAGAAAAAACCATATGCTTATAACAATGTGAAAAATAGCGGTGCAACACGATTTATAATTTTATGCTTTTCCGGGATTATTGTTATGTATCTCATTGTAATCTAACGTTAATCAAAGTAAAAGATGATTCGACTAGATTTATCAACGTCTCTAACGACACTCCTAATTTTAGAGAATATATCGCGATTCATTCTTGTATATTCGAAGGTTTATATATATAAATCGTTCGACTACCAAGATGACTAGTACAATAGGATTTGTCAATTGTTTGAACAAGAGTTCATGTGATGTGCGCATTGATAAATCTCTTATGTTAGTTATGTCGTCGCATATGAATGCCATGAAAACGATTTTGCTTTGACGACTAGTTGATTGGATGTGCTTCGAATACTGCATCCGAAGATGATTTGTAGATTTTACTGTTTTATTTACAAGATTTTCTTTGATATCCTACAAAAAAAATCCACAGAATAAAACTAACCGTTGAAATTCGTCTTTCTCTTTTAATTTGAAATAGCAGCTTAATATTTTAGTTTACTTGACTAAACACGATTTCATTCGTCATCGTTTGTATCACTATTGTAGCCGTCCTCTTATTTATTCCACTAGGCTCATCTGTCTTTCCATTTGATGTGAGCAGGGACTACAAGAGGCGTAGCATTGTTAGATCACTATCAGCGCCATTTTTCTAGAATATGCTTACTTTTAGCGTAGCCAACCTTATAAGTGCCAGAAAAACATCACGGTCATGTAAAATAAATGTCAAACACCTTATTTTTATCGATATCGTCATCAATACGGTGATGATTTATTGGCTGAATGAATGTCATTGAACAGATATATTAATTTCGTTCATTATTACTAAATAAGATCTATTTTCGCCACACCAATTTTTGATTTTTTTTAAGCATAGTAACAGCTATCTACGTTAACTAGTATTTCATCAAAAAAAGACTTCACAATCTTCAATCAGGGTGTGAGTGTGGGTGTGGATAGGGATGTTTTTTCTAAACCCATACGCAGACTCACACCCACACACCCAAAACAGACAAATAATGATTGAAACTAGTGTTACACACAGTAGGAATTCATACTCCCACCCATATCCTTCACTCTACAGCTAATCGAAGAGCATTCATGTAAGACCTCTAATAAATTCTGGACAGTGTTTCGTTATCTGCGTTAATACAAATTATATAGTTGGCGAAAAAAACAATTATTGTTTCAAAAAATTTCTGCATGTTCAGTTTTGAATATAAAATTACTGAAACATGTCGAGTTTTTTCTTCTTCATTATAATTTATTCATCCGTTCATGTATTCCTTAGTATCGACAATCGAAACCATGATTATATCACTTCTAATTCCTACAGACATCACTAAAACCGAGAGCTATCAGAGATATATATCTAATTGGTTTGAAATCTATTTAAAAAATATTCAGTAGAAAATGCATTAAACATTTTCTTGTATTATATCGCTCTAATCTGATGGTCGAACGATGAAGTTAAGTAGAACGTGAAGGCTAAATTTTAACACTTTTCGCGTGGAATTTCAGAGGCATTAAGGTAAAAAACGATACATTTTGTACGAAAAAGTTGCTATCGCTCGCTGAATCGTAGTTTGTAGTCGATGACTCAGGATGAAGGTAAACTGATATAATGAAAGTTGTATTGCTATATTAATTGACACTATAAAATCATGCATCTTACCTAGACAGAAGCATCTATCAATCTACAAGACAGTAATCATTAAAATGTCTAGTGCTTAGAGAGCGTGCAAAAATTTTTTTTTCTCTGCATAATTATGTAGTTGTCGAGTTGCTCTTTTTTTTTGAGTACGCAATTTTATTACGTCTACACACGCTTATAACACTTTATTTTACTCTTTTATCAAAAATAATGATTATACGAATTCTGTTTATTTGAATTATTCGTTACATTAGCCAAGATAATTCTACACGAAATACTTTCAATGGGGTTTTCTGCAATACGAATCCTTTTTCCTGACATAGAAAAACTTTCCTAGGCCCTTAACATGACGGAAGAGTCCCACGACCATGGCTTATGATGCATGGGCAATGAGGCATGCATTCTTTCACATCGTATTTTATTTTCGTTTTCTCTCTCTTTCCCCACTGATAGCTGTAGCCTTCGGTGATCATCATCACACATTTGTATTACCGGTCTGTAAAGTACCATAGAAAACCAAAGAACTGCTCTGTCTTCTATCTTTTTTCTTCCTTCCTCCCATATTTTCTCTTTTTCATATATATATAAATGTTACATTTTATAACTGCTTAGTCAAAACATTAACTAGCCGAGAATCGAAATGCATGACGCGCAAGACAACGACGACACTGTTCTGATGAGTAGTCCTCACATACCTGCTGCGCAAGACAAGGGCAACGCTGTTCTGATTACTAGTCTTCGCACGCCTGCTTCGCAGCCGTCGTCATTGACTGACGATCCTGAAATACGAAGAACTCGGAAAATTCTTCTAATTTTACTTCGTACCATTCTCGTGAGTTCTACTTGTCTTATGATTATCGAGGAACACCCATCTTTGTCGACTTATTTTTAAAAATATAACTTTTTACTGACTAAACCTTCAGAACATATAATTGTTTCAATTTGAAATAAATCAACTTAATTCAAATTGAATGACAAGATATTCAGTCAAACAATATTTAGGCACCCATATAATTTTCCGATCATAACTTGTATCCATTCAATGAATCTATTTTTAGGTTCTGGCTGTACTTGCTACAATTGGTTCGATCGCTGGCAATGTAGTTACGAACAATTCCGAATACTCGTCACGCGGTGTTGAAATTAGTCGATCTCTTATTCCAGTTGTTTTTCTCACCTTTGGATATTTGGTCGCTCATCGATACTCTAAAATAGGCTTACTAGTGGTATGTACCAACTGTGGTGTGTTTTTTAGTTTGTAAGTAACATCGTCTTTGGGAAATTCTCTTGACAAACTAAATATAGCCAAGGGGAAAATCTTTTTCAGGAAGAAGTACGATGTACAAGTAGTTAATTACAAAATGTATGTTGTATTTCTTTCCTAATTGCATTTGAAGTAAATATTTTCTTCATAAATATCCAGATTAACCGAAAACGAATCCGAATTGAAATAAAAGAAACTATTTCCATGAGATTAAACTTTGCTAGGTGAGAAATACTTTTTCCAAAAGTTATGATATATTGACAAAGTTTTTACGTTCACGTTTATTGAATGCACACATGATTTGAGACCGTTTGAAATAGCCAGCAATGACTTTTCGTTTACTCGTTATACAACCCATTTTAGTATCATCGAGACACTGTCAACACTTATAGCCATTGAAAGTTATGATATTTTGTAATTAATTGTTAATTGAGTTGGTCTGAATTATAGTTGTATTATTTTTTCACCAAATAAAGTCAAAGGCAAAATCACAAGCTTTAACAGATTATGTATACTTTTTCTTGCGAGTAAGTGTGAACGAAGATCAATATCAACAAGAAGGTCCCCCATTAGAATATATTTTACCTGTCTTCAAAACCATGGCTGTATTGCAACAATTTATTGACAAAATAGTTGGGAATTGTTTTTCTTCCAGGTCCTCATATTTTCATAAACGACATTTGCTCGAAATCGAATAAAACAAAATACTCAACGAATACTCTCTCAATAAAAACATTTCTACTTCCGATTTTTAGTCTAGTTGGCTGAACATCATTGAATTGGTTATTAATGCTATTATAATAGTGCTACTCTTCGTTGCCTGTTTGACTTCTTTAACTAATGCGAGCTCAGTTAATAATAGTCAAACTAATGGTATGCTGGTTGGTGCATCAATAGTTTTCTTCGTTCTAATTGTTATTATCATTGCAGCTCTTATTCTTCATGTAGGTCTTTTATTTCTTTTGTTTCCATTCATTTTCACTTTTATTTCACTTTGTAGATTGTGATTGTAAAATTTGCTTTCAAATTGGCAAGAGTTATCGAATCCAAAAAGTCTTCATTTTGTCAACAAATTTAACTGTTCGATTTGTGAAATACATTATTCATCGTAACTTTTATTCGAAATTTGCGTAGTTTCTCATTTATGTTCTCTCTCTCTCTCATTGAAATCTCTATAAATAAATGTGAAAGTACTTATCTAAACTGATTGTTATGGGCGTACAACAATAGCAGATAGCGTGGTGGTTGTCGAAAAGTTATACAGCCCATCGATTTACCTGAGGGTGTCGGTGTACTTATCATGTCTGGCTATAAACCCCACACCCACACCCACACCCCACACCCTGTGTTTGTAACTTACAAACACACCCCTCACTCAACAGCTAATCGAAAAGCATTCAACGAAGATTCTTAATAAAATCTGAACAGTGCTTTGTTGGTTGCGTTTATACCAATAATATATTGGCGAAAAAAATGTAATCATTGTTTTATCCAAATAGCTCTTTCTTTATTTTCGATGCATCACATTGGAATGATAATTCCGATGAAATTTTTATCGTGTTTGTGACGATAGTCACTCACATACGCAATCATTATGACTTGATGACTTTTGTGTTAATTTCATTGACTGGAAAAATTAAAATTCCAATGTTCAGTTATGAATATAAAATAACTGCAACATGCCGTTTTCTTTCTCCTTCATTATAAATTATTCGTCTGTTCATTTATTCTTTACTATCGACAATCAAAAAGATAATTATATTACTGCTAATTCATAGAGACATCAGTAAGAACAGGAGCAGCTCTCAGAGATCTATTTCTAATTGGTTAGAAATCTATTTAAAAAATATTCACTCTACCATGTACTAAATATTTTCTTGTATTATATCCGCGTAATCTTATGGTAGAATGCTGGAGTTAAGTAGAATGCGAAGATTAAAACTTCACACTATCCGTGTCGAATTTCAATGGCGTTAAGGTAAGAAAAAGATATATTTCATATGAAAAAGTTACTTCCGCTCGCTGAATCGTATTTTATAGCCGATGATTCAGGATAACGGTAAACTGTGAAGTAATTAAAGTTGTATTGTCATATTTATTGACACTAAAAACTCATAGATCTTATCTAGACAGAAATATCTATAAATTGGCATGCTAGTATTCATTGAAACATTTAGTGGTTAGAGAGCGTTCGAAATCTATTTTATTTCTCTGAACAATTATATGTATGTTTTGAATTACTCTTTTATTAAAAAATAATCATTCTACGAATTCTGCTTAATTTAAATCAGTTTTTACATGCCGACGACATTTCCCCATCAACATAACGAGCAACAGGTTCTGAAATACGAGTCATTTTCTGTTGACCCAGTGAAACTTTCCAGGAACCTTAGTATGACGGTCGAGTTCTATAAGTCAAACATTCTTTACACATATCATATATTTATTCTAGTTTTTTTCTCATTTCCGCTGATAGTTGTGTTCTACTGTGATCGTTATCACATATTTTTATTGTTGCTCACTAGAATACAGCAGAATAACAAAGAACTACGTTGTCCTCTTGTTTTGTTCTTTCCTCTTCCCATCTTCTCTCTTCTCCGAAATGATATATAGGTTAACTTTTATAACTATTTAGTCGAAACGTTAGGTTGCATATAATAACAATACAATACATGCAAAACCACGAAAACGTTGTTGCGATGGATACTCCTTACATGCCTGTTTCGCAGCTTTTGTCATTGAATGACGATCCTGAAATACGACGAACTCGTAAAATTCTTCTAGTTATACTTGGTGTGCTTTTCGTAAGTTCTTCTTGCTTTATGACTATCGAGGTGCGCCCATCTTTCTCGACTAACCTTTTAAAAATATAATTTTTTGCTCACTAAACTTTCTGAAGGTTAATTTTTTTCGATCTGGAATAATCTAACTTAATTCAAGTGAAAACCCAAAATTTTTAAGCAAAAAATATTTAGATAATCACATCGATTTTCGATCATAACTTATATGCATTCATTGAATCAATTTTTAGGTTCTCGCTGTACTTGGTACAATTGGTTCGATTGCTGGCAATGGAGTTACGAATAATTTCGGATACTCGTCACGCGGTGTTCAAATTGGTCGATCTCTTATTTCAGTTGTTTTTCTCAGCTTTGGATATTTGGTCGCTCATCGATACTCTAAAATAGGCTTACTAGTGGTATGTACCAACTGTGGTGTGTTTTTTAGTTAATGAATAACATCGCTTTTGGGAAATTCTCCTGACAAACTAAATATAGCCAAGGGGAAAATCTTTTTCCCAAAAATTACGATAAACATTGTGAAAGTTTTCACCTTCACTTTTATCGAATGTACGCATGATTTGAGATCGTTGGAAATAGTCTTCAAAGACTTTTCGTTTATTTGTTATGCAACCAATTTGAGAATCTTCGAGACACCCGCAACAATGATAGTCATGGAAAGTTATGCTTTTTGTGATTCGTTTTTAATTCAGTTGATCTGAATCATACTTGAATTATTTTTTCTCCAAATAAAGTCAAAGACAAAATTACAAGCGTTAACAGATTATGTATGCTTTGATCACGAGGATGTGCGAGCGAAAATCAATGCCAACAAGGAGATCCGCCGCAAAAAAATATTTTACCTGTCTTCAAAAATAGGGTTTTATTGTAACAATTTACGGATGAAACAGTTCGAAATTATTTTTTGCCAGGTCGATATATTTTCATGTATGACATTTGCTCGAGAAGAAATAAAACAAAACAGTCGAGAAATACTCTCTCAATAAAAATATTTCTACTTACAATTTTTAGTTTGCTTGGTTAAACATTATTGGATTGGTTATTAGTGGTATTGCGGTAATGCTGCTTTTCGTTTTAGGTTTGGTTTCTTTAACTAATCCAAGCTCAGTTAATAATACTCAAGCCTATGGTATTCTGATTGGTGAATCAATAGTTTTCTTTGTTGTAATTGTTATTATCATTGCAGCTTTTATTCTTCAAGTAGGTCTTTTATTTCTTTTGTTTCCAGTTATTTTCATTTTTATTTCACTTTGTAGATTGTGATTGTAAAGTTTGCTTTCAAATTGGCAAGACTTATCGAAGCCAACAAGTCTTCATTTCGTCAACAAATTTAACTCTTCGATTTGTGCCATATATTACTTATGTTAACTTGTATTCGAAATTTGAGTAGTTTCTCATTTATTTTCTCTCTCTCCCATTGAAATCTCTATAAATAAATGTGAAAGTACCTATCTAAACTGATTGCTATGCGCGTACAACAAGAGCATATAACGTGGTGGTTGCCGAAAAGTTATACTGCTGATTGATTTACCGGGACCAAATGATTTAAGTTTATTAATTAATTATGTAGAAGATAAGTACTTTACTACTGCAAAGAAACAAGGGATCATGCGAAACTGCCCGTTGAGTTTAACTTTACGCAAGTCTAGCAATCAGACAGAACGGAATTTTCCTTAATTCAATACAACTAGCTAATAGGTTACGACTTTGGTTACGCGGAAGATATTACGAACAAGAGATTGATCGATAATATTTATTGACCAAGACGCCTGCATTCTCAACTATTGTTTATTTCAATGTGGATTCGATTCACATGGTTGAGGAAGTGAATATTGTCTTTGTGCTCTTAATTAAGTGCTCTTAGTTGAGGTTTCTCTGCTCACAACTTGTTTACACAGACAGGTAACATGTAATACTGGCCAATTAAAACATCTTTTAGGTGAAAAATTGCTCAGAACAATAGTTGAGAACTTGGAATGAACAATTTCCCATGTGGTATCATTTGAAATCGTTCTACTTTTCGTGGTACTGTATCATTTACGACTTCATTCAACATTCCATTTTTCTGTTACGCGATCGACACTGAAAAGTACAAACTAAGAATAAGTACGACTTGCGTTACACACGCCCGTATTCATCTAAGGCCTCTAGTAAATTTGGAACAGTAGTTTTTATATGCGTTGACGCAAATTATATTGCTGGTGAAAAAATATAATAATTCCTTCAAAAAGAAAAAGAAGGCATGCCTTTTATCTAATCAAAAATGAATCTTTCTTTATTTGTCATGCATCACATAAGAATTATGATTCTAGTGAAATGTTAATCGAGTTCTTCACGATAGTCTCTTACATACTCGATCATTTCTATTAAAAGATTTTTGTAGTAAATTTATCGACTCCAAGAATTAAAATTCAGATTTTCTGCTATCAATACAAAATAAATACGAGATACCGCGTTTTTCTCCCATGATTATTTTTTTATCTTCTGTTTATTCATTGTTTTCCAGCGACAATTGAGAGCTTGGTTATTTTCATCATAGTTCAAAATAAGAATAAGTGAGATGGAAAGCTCTTGAAGGTTTTGTTTCCATATTGGTGTGAGATCTACTCAAAAAATATTCAGTCCACCATGTATTAAATATTTCTTTGTATTGTATCGGCTGTAACATACAGTTGCACGATAGGGTTAAGTTAAGAAGAATGGAAAGTGATGTTTGCTAGTATCCGCTTCAAATTTCAAAGCCACTAAGAGAAAAAGGAAATAGTTTACGTGAAAAATTAACATTAATTTTTTAAATCACATATTATTTTCGATGATTCAGGTTAAGAATGACATAAAAGATAATGAAAGTTCTATTACCATATGTATTGACACTAGCAAATCATATGTCTTATCTGGACAGAAATATCTATCAATTTACATGATAGTATTCATTGAAACATCTAGTACTTAGGGAGCGTTCGAAATCTTTTTTTTTATTTCTCTAAACAATTATTTGTATCTCTCGTAATACTCTTCTATTAAAGAAAATGATTATACGAATTCTGTTTATTTCAATTATTCGTTACAGTAGCCAAGATCTGTCTAAGTGAAATATTTGCCGTAAAAGTTTTTGAAATATGATTTAATTTTTCTGACGTAGTCAAACTTTCGTAGGCTCTTAACATGACGGAAGACTTTGATGACTCATGCATTATCTTACACGTATTAAATGTGTATTCCCCAGTCAGACGAGCAACGAAAAATAACGCGTAAAAACGAATAAAAATCGCACATTTTTGCGATTTTACTTTCGTTAAAAATTCTACGCATTTTTACGCGTTATTTTTCGTTGCTCGTCTGACTGGGGGTTATTTTCTTACGTGACCGTCGTCACACGTTTTTATTCCGACACGATAGAAAGGTTAGAATGAATAATATCGACTGAAACAACGATGAACTATTGTGCTTTCTATTTTTTGTTCTTCTTTCTTTCCATCTTCTTTCGTCTTCGTATATATATACGTGTACGTTAAGTTTCATATCTGTGTATTCTAAACGTTAAAGCGAGTCATATTGCTGGCATGCAATACGCGCAAAACAACGAAAAAATTGTTGTGATGGGTAATCCTTACGTGCCTGTTTCTCAGCTATTGTCATTAGCTGACGATCCTGAAATACGACGAACTCGTAAAAATCTTCGAATTCTACTTGGTGTGCTTCTCGTAAGTTCTTCTTTTTTTACGAAGATCAATTTTTTCGATTTGGAATAAATTAACTTAATTCAAATTGAAAGTCAAAATTTCCAATCATAAATTATATGCATTCAACCAATCTATTTTTAGGTTCTAACTGTACTTGGTACAATTAGTTCGATAACTGGCAATGGAATTGTGAATAATTCCAAATATTCTTCACGTGGTACTGAAATTGCTCAATCCATTATTTCAGTTTTATTCCTCAGCTTTGGATATTTGGCTGCTCAACGTTACTCTAAAATAGGTTTACGAGTGGTATGTACTAATTGAAATCTCTTGTTTCTATATCATCGTTCTGAAAGCTACATATTCCTTTGCGAAAATTTCCCTAATGAACTAAATATATGAGGGTGAAAAATCCTTTTGACGAGAAAGTTGGATGTTAAATCGCTTAATTACAAACTGAGCAAAGTCGAATCGGATTCTAGCTAAATAATATGAACGGTTAATAACGAATAAATTGCGTCTGAGGTTTAATTAAATTACTAGTTCAAAAAGATTTTTCACAAACATAAGACTATGTATTTTAACAGTCGATTGGCTTGCCAATTTTCAACTTGGTTCGCAGCCACCTGTATTGAAATATTTATCTGTTGTTCTTGGTCTATTTGTTGTGAAAATAATTTGAGGACAATCTTCTATCGCATCCAAAAGGGAACGAAGGTGAAATTTTACTTTCAATATATAATCAACAAATTTCGTATTTTTTGTTACATTGAACTAAAAATACAGTCGGATGTAATTTTTTCCTGGCGGACACCTATTGGTATATGACAGTTGCTTCAATAGAAATAAGATAAACTACTCGATTAATACTCAATAGGATATTTTGTATTAAAAATTTCTATTTTTAGTTTGCTTGGCTAAACATTATTGAATTGGTTATTATGGGTATTGTTCTAGCGATTCTCGTCATTTGCGGTTTAGTAGTTGTACGTGCCGCAAGCTCGGCTGCTAATGGTGAGCAGAAAGGTATTCTGGTTCTATCAATAGTTGTTGTCGTTGTGATTATTGCTGTCATCATAGGTCTTATTCTTCAAGTAAGTCTTTTATTTATTTTGCTTCTAATCATTTTCATTATTATTTCGCATTGTAGGTTATAATTGTAAAGATGAGTTTCAAATTGGCAAGACTTATTGAAGCGAAAGAGTCTTTATTTTTTTCAACAAATCTAGCTGTTTGATTTGTTTCATATATTAACTTGTTTTCGAAATTTATGTAGTCTTTCTTTTGCTGCTTGAAATCTCCATAAATAAATGTGAAAGTGCTTATCAAAACCGATGGTTATACTGTCCATTGATTTACCAGGCAAAAATGATTTGTGTCTGCTACTAAAGAGAAGCAAGTACTCGTACAAAAATTACCTATGGACTTGCATTTGGTTCCTATGAAGTTATTCTATAGAACTTTTGATGTTTTCGATTTGAAGATCCGCAAGATGAAGGGAAACATTCATATACGGCTTAGTTTTCTTCTTCAATCGTCTGTAAAATTAGATGATGCAGTGTCACATGATTGAACAACAGGTTGATCAATGATATTTATTTTTACGCCGTCTAAATTCTAAAATAATGTTTGAATTAGTATATATTCGTTTGTTCAGTTCACATTGTTCTGTCTCGTTTGGTGGTATTAGTTGATATTTTATCTGCATAAAATTCGAGTACAAAGATAGATAATGAATGATATGAGCTATTTACAACATAGATAGGACAAAAACTTGCTCCTAACATAGTTAATATTTCATTTTCGTTATGTTCATTACCAAAATGTCCAATTTCAACGGTTGATTGTGAACAATTTTGCTTTTCATAACATGTGAAATCTTTCAAATTTTCATAGCACTGTATCATTTACGACTTCATTCACCGATTCAGTTATTTTCTAGGCGATAGATAATAACAAAAACCAAGAAAGAGTGCGTCTCGTGGTGCACATAGTTGAAATTCATACTTTCACTCCTGTGCTCATTTCACCGCTCGAAAATCAATCATTGAAGCCGGAAAAATTCTAAACAACACTCTGCTATCTGAGTTGATGATAGCGGTGAAATCTTAATGACTTTCATACCTTTACTATCCTACATATTCGTTTCCTATTTATATGTAATTTATTCAAAAAGTGATGCAATTGAGATAAAAGGCCTAGTTGAACTGTTGTTTTTCTGTGCTTGCCGAACACTGACCTAAAGATGTGTCTATATCACATGAATTTGTTTGCATAGAAGAGAACTTGAATACTCGCATGAGTTGTCTGAAACTTTACTTGGCCAACTTATATACAAGAAAAAAATCCTCCTCATTACCAGTGATGACATTTGAGACTAATGATCATGTCGATTTCCTTCTTTTTGAATTGTAAAGTTTTATTACAAATTAATGATTCGAATATAAAACTAATGATAAAAGAGCAAAATGCACATATGAAAGATAATTAGAACTGATTTCATTCGGCCCAACTGTCGTTCTTGTCATTGTGACACCGGGCAGGATTCATTGAAGTATTGCTATTGTTAGCGTGTGATTGATAGGAACTTTTGTTACTAATCTGTGTAGCTCGTAGTGTTTTCGGCGTGTGCTCATGTTTTTTTTCTATCATATAGATTCTTCTGCAGCTTCCTATGTCTGTTTAGATGCTTTTACGAAAATTTACAAACTAATAGAGACTTTCAGTAACTATCACCTCCTGCTGCTCGATCACTACGCATCTTTACAATTTTTTTCTTTTCTGAACAAATAGTCGTTACCCATTGTCTGATACACCAAATTGATTGTTTCTCGTGATTTGTTTTCATAGTAGTCGTGATAATTTAACTAGTTATAGTATTGACTAGTGCCTGCGTATGATGTCCTCTATATGTTCAACAATTGAAGTTTTAAAAAGACCTCAAGATCTGTCCATATTACATGAATGAAAAAAACGTTTCATTGGTAAAGTATATAATCTTGGTCAACTATTCAAAGTATTAAACCGTAGATGCATGAACGAGAAAAATATTCACTTCAATTTTATGTTACAACTGAAAGGTGAAGATAGAACGCAAGAGACAGCGACTATTTTTTCCTTTTATCATTGTTCAGATCGTAAGAAAAGTTGATGTCCAATAGGCCAAGTTTCATTTTTCTTTATTCTAAACGTTAGAAAGCATATCATCGACATGCAGTACGCGCAAGAGAATGAAAAAGTTGCTACGATAGCTAGTTCTGGCATCATGATTTCTCAACCGTTGCCGTTGAATAAAGATCTTGAAATACGGCTAACTCGTATAATTCTTCTAATTATGCTTGGTGTGTCTGTCGCAAGTTCGTCTCTTCTTATAATTACCATAAGGCGCCCATGTTTATCGACTAACCATTTACAAACATCCGGTTTTGCTCACTAAATATGTTGAAGATCAACATTTTTGATTCAAAATAAAAGAACTTAATCTACATGATTCTCAGTTGAGCCATATTGAGGTACCAAATATGAGAATAGACTATATATGACATTTTTTTTATTTGTTAAATAGAGTAAACGTTTCGTTTCTCTCTGAATCAAGCGAACCCTTTTCTATTGCATTGATTTCAATTGCATCCATAAACAATCCCAGGGTTAACCTGCCCGATAGAAATGCATCGCTCTGAAATCTTGCCTTGCCAATGTTAACAACTATAGAGAATTGAATAATCATCACTAAGTATTTTTTAGCTGCATTTAATATTTAATACGGTGCGAAGCACAGCATTCATGGTGTCCGTCGCGAGCTTTTTTTTAACTTGAGATACGCATAAAAAGTTGTCGTAAAGTGACGCGATGATCTAGATAACCGTGAATGATAAAAAAAAACATTCGAACGGAAGGTGAGAGTATCGAGATGGAACTTATTCCAACTGTTTTTCCGATTTTAAATAGTACGTTTAGTTTACCTAAGAATAGCGTTGCAAAATGACGATTTTGAACGTTTGAAATTTCCGAGATAATTAAACTGACACCATCAAGTGGTCTTAGCCAATAGTCTATTAATTCACATCTGATCTAAGGTAATGAATCATGAAGAATATAGTATATACAATCAAAATCGTTGTCAATAATTATAATGATACGCACGAATACCGTTTTCTTATTGATGATTACGATTATAGTTACTTTATTAGTTAGAGAATCTGATGGGCTGACGAGAGACAAAACATTTTTTGTTTAAATTTTGAACAAATGAAAAAGTTAAGTATTAAAGGAGAAAAACTAAATTTAAATAGAAACAGTAATATCTTGTAATGAATTGTAAATTTTATTATTTCTTTCTAACTTGAGTGCGCATAAAAAATTCTCGTTAAGTGACGCGATGATCTACAGAACCGTAAATGATAGAAAATCCATTCAAACTACATATGAAAGTTTCGAGATCGAACTTGTTACATTTTTTTTCAAATTTTCAATACTAAGTTTCGTTCGCCTAAAAATATCATTAAAAAATGATGATTTTGTAAGTTTTTTATCGTTAGAGAGTTTCAAGATAATAAAAAAGATGTCATCAAGCAATAGTAGTCAATAGTCTATTTCTTCGCATTTGATATTGGATAGTGAATCATCGAAATAATTTAATGTTCAATCAAAAGCATTCTCTAGGATTATTGTGATAATCACGAAAAAAACGTTTTCTCAGCAATGAATTCTATTACGATTATTTGAGAACTAAAAAGAAATGTAATGATTTTTTGTTTTTTATTACAACTGCTGAAGACAGGAAAATGTGTATATTCCAAGCGAATATGAAACGAATCAGGTCAAAACGATGTCTAATTAATTTTAAGATTGCTTGTTCCTTTTCCGTTAAATTTTTTATTTTCTCGTGTACTCGATTCGTGCTTCGCACCGCATTTTGTACACGAGTGAAACTCGAATACCATCTAGTTTTATTTCTCAATTACATTATCACTTGTATAGTAACAACTATAGCTGATCGGGATTAATATTATAATATTCAAAGAAGATTTATACAAAAATTCATTCGAAAACTACGCATAACAATGCAGGACAACCGCACCTTCCTGTCCTATTCTCATCTCTGCTAGACACCGAGCGCAATTTTACTCAATCGCTCATATACATTCGAAAAACAAGTATTTATCGATATGATACACGTATTATCATTTTAGGGAGCGGCTGTACTTGGTGTACTTGGTGCAATTGCTTCTATTGCCAGCAATGACGTTCAATATGGTTCTAAATACTCAATACGCCAAACTGGCATTGGTCAATCTCTTATCTCACTGTTGTTATACAGCTTTGGATATGTAGTCGCTTATCGATATTCTCAAACAGGCTTACGAGTGGTATGTAGGAACTCTGGAGTGTTTGTCATGTATCAATAGCGTTGCCAGAAATCTATGCTTACTTTTTCGAAAATTTTGTTCGGACGAAGTAGGATCTATAATCCATTAATCAGTTACTTGATATAGCTCTTGCCTAATGAAAAGTAAAGAGTAAATATTATCGTCACCCATATCTAGATTAAGTAAAGTCGAATTCGAATTCGAATTGAATTGAAAAGATTTTCATGGGATTAAACGTTATCGTCTCTCTACATGTAAAATGTGAAAATGAATTTTCTTCTATTTCAAGATTCCAGGTAAATAAAATGCACGTTTGAAAACAAAAAAAAACTGCCGCTTTATTTCAAGTAAATTGTTAGACGAGCTAAGAAAACAGTAAGATACTTGCATTGAACCATTTCCATTTTGCTTTTAGTTTGCTTGGATAAACATATTTGCATTGGCTAGTGCGGGTATTGGTCTAGTAGTTCGTATGATTTTCGGTTTCCTAGTGTTAACTACTCCAACTTCAACTGATCATGGCCAGTTGATTCTGGCTAGCTAATCAGTATTTCTCTTCTTTGTGGTTATTATTATCATTGCATGTTTTGTTTATCAAGTAAGACTTTTATTTCTGGTGTTTCTAATTATTCTCATTCTTGTTTCGCATTGTAGATTGTGATTATAAAGCATGCGTTCAAATTGGCAAGACTTATTGAAGCGAAAAAGTCTTTATTTTTTCAGCAAATCTAACTGTGGAGTTGGTATCATACATTAATCGTGTTAACGTGCATTCGACATTTGTGTAGTTTTTATTTACTCGCTTTCTGTCTCCTTGGGATCTCTATAAATAAATACGAAGGTGCTTATGTAAACCAATAGCTTTATCCCTACAACAATTATGCATAATTAGGTGAGTGTCGAGAAGTTTTCCTGCCCATCGATTTAGCGAAAACAAATGTTTTATGTTTGCTACTGGACTGCAGCAGAACACGAACCCATGCTGAAACTACTGATTGGGTTCAACTTGATGTGTACGTAGTAGAAGTAATTCTTTAAATTTCGGTAATTGAAAATATTTTTCGAATAGTTTACGATTTTGGACACCAGGAAGATGAAACAAGACATTGATATTCATCTATTTTTCCTCCTTATATCCCATTTAAAATCAGATGAGACGATTCATGGCACACACCTCACGTACACAGACAGGTAATGTATAATTTCGGTCAGTTATAACATGGATTATGTGAAAAAATTTTAGCGAACGTAATTAATATTTCATTTTTGTTGTGTTCATTGAGTTCAATGTCTAATGTTAACGTGTTTTTGCGTGTAGAAGAATCGAACCATAAAAAAGATTTCTATCGAACAATTTCAATTCTTGAATCATCAGAAATTTTTTTCGAAAAATCCGATCAGCCGTTTAGAATCTCCGTTTATAAATAGCTTAGCTGATAACGCTACATAATAATGATGATTCTAGTGAAATTTTCATCGAATTCGTGACGATAGTCTTTTACATACTCTCTTATTTCGATTACATGATTTCTGTGTTATTATGATCGATCGAGAGAATTAAAATTTTGATGTTCAGTAGTGAATACGAATTGCAAAGGGAATAACATATTTCTGTTCATCTGTGTATTCATTGTATGGTAATGCCAATTGAAAACGTGATTATACAGGCATCAATGAGAATGCGAGCTCTCATAGATTTATTTCCTATTTGTATAAAAATCAGTTAAAAATATCTCTAATCAAAAATGCGTATATCTTCTTATGCATTAGAGAACATTTAGAAGGATAATAAAAAGAATATTCTGTTGTATTATGTCGGTTCAATCATATGATTGACAGATAGAATAGAATAAAATCAGATATACAATTCACTCGGCAAGAGGAAATTTGATAATTATCAACTTCAAAATACAATGCCATAAAGTGAAAAAGTAACTTTCATTGTGAAATAGAAGATACTTGCACGGCGTACTTCTTCGCTAAACAAAGCACGCAAACAATCCATACTTATCAACTTATTCTGCATCCACTTAAATCATTTTTCATATTTATAGCCTGAAGATCAACTTTTTGAAAATATATTATAATCTAGGATGTGTGGGGTGAAGTGTAAGATTATTAAGCTATATTACCATACCGATAAAAGCAAACAAACTGTAGACCTTATGTAGACAGAGATATCTATCAATGGTTCGAAGTACATTGCATAAAATAATTTTCTTTCGTTCTGCTCTCAATGTAAGTATACTATCTAGCTCTTGTAATTTTTCTACTGATATAAATCCACCGATGCCCTGGAGAGCATGATAATTTCTAGCGCATTAAATGTTTAGATAATAGTGCTCATTAAAACATCGAGGGTTTGGAGAGTTTTGGCTAATTAAGAATTTGGAAATACGAACGTGTAAAGTCTATTCTATAGAACTACTTTGGAAGAAATTTTCTTTTTTTTCTTTTGATTGAGTGAAACTTTAGTCGGTTCTAAAAATATCGAAAGATTCTGATTACTCGAACATTCTTTTACATACATCAGCGGTGTGTTCTGTTTGTTTTTCTCTTCTTCCGCTGATAGTTGTGTTCTAACGAGATCGTCATCGACCGATCTCATTGCTTCTCGACAGAATAGAAAAATACTGGCTAGAAAAAGGAGAAAAAACTAGTTTGTCGTCTATTTTATTGCTTTCTTTCGCATCTTCTCTCTTATTACTATTCACGTTATTTTTTTTATTCTGAAGAGCAAAGCGCACATAGTAGAAATGCAATACGCGCAAGGCAGCGAAAAAGTCGTTTTGACTACCAGTCCTTACATGCCTGTTTCGCAACCGCTGTCGTTGAATGAAGATCCTGAAATACGACGAACTCGCAAAGTTCTATTGATTATAGTAGGCGTATGTCTCGTAAGTGTTTCAATTTTTATGACTATCAAAGCACACCAAAATTTATCGATTAATCTTTTACAAACATTTTCTTATACTTAATAAGCGTGCTGAAAGCATGTGATGGGATTATTATTATAACGCATTTTATATTAATCTAAAATTCATTCAATTTAAAATAGAATATCTTAATCAAAATCGATTTATAAAACGAATTAATATTTTAGGGTCTGGCCGTACTTGGTGTAGTTAGTTCGATTGTCGGAAGTGAAGCTCCAAGTAATACTCAGTACTCAACACGCGGTGCACAAAGTGGCCAATCACTTATTTCAGTTATTTTTCTTAGCTTTGGATGCTTAGTCGCTTATAGATATTCTCCAACAGGTTTAAAAGTGGTATGTAATAACTCTGATATGTTTGTCATGTATCTATAGCCTTGTTAGAAAGTTATGCTTTGTTTTTCGAAAATTTTACTAACAAATTAAATCTGCAAATGTAAAGAGTAAATATTATCGGCGCACATATCGAGATTAAGCAAAGTCGAATTGGAATTGAAATCCATGGAAAAGATTTTCATCAGATTAAACATTATCAGATCTGTAGATGAAAAAAAATTTTCTTCTATTTCGAGATTCGTTTGTATTTATATGAAATGAAAGCATACATGATCCACCAGCGTTTCGAATATTTTTTCACTCGATATATTTCTCTGTCGTTCTTAGTTAGTTGTGATAATTTACTGTAAATACAGCCGGAAATCTTTTTTCTAGACGTATATATATATCTACATGATATTTGCACATAAACAAATAAAATAAAACATTTGCATTGAAACATATTACTATTTCCTTTCGTTTTAGTTTGCTTGGTTAAATGTAGTTGGATTGGTTATTTTGGGTATTGGCGTAATCGTTTGTATCTTCTTCGGTTTCGTATCTTTAACTGTTGTGGCCTCAGCTGCCAATGACCGTGGTCAGGGTATTCAGGTTGGTGTATCAATAATGGTTCTCTTATTTGTGACTATTATTCTCATCGCAGCTTTTATTCTTCAAGTAAGTCTTTTATTTCTAATTATTCTCATTACTACTTCGTATTGTAGATTGTGATTATGAAGCTTGCTTTCAAATTGGCAAGACTTATCGAAGCTAAAAAGTCTTTACCTCATCAACAAATCTAATATTTTGGTGAATTTCATATAATAATCATATTAACTTGTACTAAAATTTCTCATTTATTCTCTCTGCTGTTCGGAAGCTCTGTAAATAAATCTCAATGTGTTTATTTTAACCAATAGTTTTACGTATACATCAATCATACAGAATCCGATGATTGTTAAGAAACTACATTTTCGATCAATATACCGCGAACAAATGATTTATGTTTACTACTTGAGAAAAACGAGAAATCATACTGAAACTACACGTTGACGTTCATCTTGTACCTACGCAGTTATTATACAGAACTTTTGAAGTTTCTGTTATTGAAAATATCTTTCGGATAAAGTACGATTTTGGATACTGGCAAGATGAAACAAGACATTCATATCCGTCTTAATATTCTCCTTCTATATTAAATAAAATCAGATTGATGTATCTAACGAGCAGTGTTCCTCATGAAAGAGTGTACCCAGCAAAAACAAAGTGTACCGAGCCCTAATGAAATAAGATTTGCACACTGAAGATAAAAAATAGTGCGTACAGTACAGTGTACCCGCTGGATTTCCTTTTTACAAAGTAACTTTTACGAAAATTTGCATGCCTTTATGATTAAAAGGAATATATTTATTGAATGTGATCAAAACTTTGTGTTTCATCCAATAGAAAAAAAGGTAGAGGCATCGTAACATTGTCTATGTTTCATATAACTTAGTACAGGCGAGTCCACTTATAAGAGCTCCGGATAAAGGAGCGGTTCGCTTATAAGAGCTGTGTTTTGGCGCTTTTAGTCCGTATAAAAGAGCCTTTTTATCTATATGATTATTAATATGCACTTATGCTCTTCTTCTTTTATTTTATTTTCTTATTAGTTATTCGCCTAGGATTTTTCCTTCTCTGTCATCTATATGTGATGGACTTTTCTTTTCCTTCGTTCTTCTTTCTTTCATGTTGTTCTACGTTGGGTTTTCCATTCTATGGATTTTTCCGTCGTCCTTTGTTCTATATATTGTTCCTCATTTTTCGTTGAATCTTTATTTTTCAAAAAATGGCATCTACCAGCGGTGAACGTTGCACATTATCGATTGAACAAAAATTAGAAATCTTGGAAGCACTGAAATCGAAAAAGCCAGACGATGTGGCTAAAGATTTCAACATCGGCTATTCTACGGTGAAGAAGATAAGGTAAAACGAAGACGAAGTCGGAATTTCTTATGAATCGATGGTTCGCAAGTATTTGGATGAGAATTTTACAGAGTATAATTCATATGATGATATCGAAGACATGATCGAAAAGAACGCTTTAATTAATCGTACTCAAAGTAAAATCACGGATTTCTTTGAGTAAATTTATGTATGTTTATGTACTACTTAATAAATGTTGACAAGAAACAATTTTTGCACTGTTTTACATATAATTCGGATAAAGGAGCTGTCCGAATCTAAGAATCTCTTTTAGAAACCCCGACTGCGCTCGTATAAGCTGACTCGGCTGTATTAGGTTTAAACAGTAAGATGAATTCATTATCATCTTCATCAAAATCTCATTTTTCCTCAACAGAAAAAAGGCTGGTCATCGTAAAAAGTATTTGTCTTTTTGGAAAAATGATCCAGTTTCGTTTTATTCATCGTATTCCTATGATACTCCAGGTATTCAGCAAACAAAACATATCTGTTGGGTCTACAAAAAAAGCAATGAGAATTCTGGCACTGTTACATAAGGTTGCCGTTCATGTGAAAAACATCGTATGGTAAAAAACAAGAACGGCAAACAAAATACATGGGCTACAAAAGGTTTCAACATTTTTGGCGTTGTACAAGATAAAAGAACGTCGTTTAAATGAAAAGCACTAGGAGTCCATTTTCTAGCATCTTATACACATTGTACACTTTGATCCTTGAAACAAAGTGCACGAAACCATGATGCTCAAAACTAGCGTAGTGCATTTATACATTCTATTTCAGATTCCTATTAGGAACACTGCTAACAAGTAATACGAAGGATGGAATAGACCCCGATGATGATTTTATTTGTTGATGATGTGTTTAATTCGCTATACAAACAGATGATTCGATTTCAATTAATTCTACAAGACACTGATCAATAATATTTATTTTTCACGAAATCTAAAATTTTTAAATAATGTTTGAACTACAGTTCAACACACCCGTGTTTTTTTTCATAACTCATAGACAAAGATATTACGAACTTTTTTAATTGGTTGTAGCAATAGGCGAAGGCGTTGAACGTCTTGTGAATAAACATATATAGCTGCAGTCTGAGATCGAGTATAGGTTGATAATACTGTAACGATTAATACGACTCAGTTGAGTCTATATCGTATTGACAAACTGGATAGAGGTGGAGTAGCTTACAGCCACTCACGGCAATGATGTTTATTCGTTTATTCACATATCCAGAGTGTAACGACACAACTAGAGAGTGTCGCCTATGCCCGTCGACATGATGGTATATTGTGTCATCTGACATCTCTAGAGTGTCCCAACTTCATACATAACACACGTATATATAGGAGAGAGATAGAAGAGAGACAAGAGAGAGAGATATTACACCAATGGAAAGAGAACAGAAGGAAGAGGAAGGAGAATCATCGAAGCGTGCAATCAATATCGGCACAAATACCAATGGTAAACCTACATCACTGTCGGCTATAATAAATATTTTCTAGTGTTGAACGTTCGACTACAAACCGAATGAGAACATATCGTTTAAGATTTCTCAGTGATTGTTGCTGATCAATTTTTATGATTCCAGCTACAGAAATCAAGCTCAACCTGCATATAATCTGATTCGGTTTTGATACTACGACGGACACCATTTATTTAAGAATGCGTTGCTTACTCACCAATTAAAATTAAAAAAACATAACATTTGTTTATTGGACACTAGGACAATTCGTCGGAATGACATCCTCCAATCATAATTTATCTATTTTTCAATAATGAAACGACTGATTCGATTAAGTTTGAAGCATGTAATTTAATGAACACGCGAAAATGCTTTGAAAGTACGAGCGAAATTTAGCATTTTCTGAAGACGAGCAGCTCTGAAATCATGAGAAAAGAAATCAACTTTTAATGAATTTCTCGTTTTGAATCTTCACATTTGACGTACAAATTCTGTTAGTTTGTAGACCATCGTCTGTTCTACAATACAATTTAAAATTAAACTAGTCAGATTGAATCGATGATTTATGCATTGTCTGAAGTAGGAAACAGGTCTGATTTTTTGTCGTTCTAGAACTCTTTATAGTGGCAATAGCCGAAGATTAAAAATATGCGAGCTCGGATAGAAATCCTTAAAAGTATTGTTGGCTGCAAGAAAACATTGAAGATGTATTGCCTTTATAAAAAAATCAAAACAAAAAAAAAGAGCTGTGTACTAAAGCATTGCTAGTATAAGAATTTACGCAGATTGCATCGTCGAACAACAGTCGAAAACTTTAAAACAGAACAATCTACGTTCTTCAATCGTATGAAATCTTGTGAGTGCGACTCATGTTACACACAGTAGAAATTCATCCTCTCACCCACACCCCTCACTCTACAGCTGATCGAAGAGCAATTATCTAAGACCCATAGCAAATTCTGGACAGCACTTTGCTATCTATAACATAAATGATGAACGACTTGTGAGCGTAAAATATCTATTGTTATTAAAACAGCAGCGTAAATATGTAACAGTACAATATAAAGAGAGACTAACAGTTTCACAAAATTTACTTTTGCAGAAATAGTTTCCTGTAAAAACAAATTTTGTTTAGACTGACTCTACGTACATATTGTTGTACTATGTGAATGCGTAAAGTTAGCCTGTCCAGAATTTACTTTGTTATCTACGTTGATAAATTCTATAACCAATGACAATGCATAATGATTGTTTCAGGAAGCAAAAGTACAATTACAGTATGCCTTTCATCCCATAAAAGATCACACTGTTTATTTTCCAAGCATCACATTTCTGTGCATTTCATTGGCTGCAAGATTAAAAATTTTGATTTTCAGTTATGAATACAAACTGCATAAGGAATATCGTGCTTCGTTACTCTTCGTCATTATTTTTTTACCATCTGTTTAATCATTTTGTGCTATCGAGAATTGAAAACGTGATGATATCACTGCAGGTTCAAATAAGCATCAGGGAAAATGAGAACTCTCAAAGGTTTGTTCCCCATTTGTTTGAAACCTATTCGAATAATATTTAGTACACAATGTATTAAATATCCTCTTGCATTATATCCGCTTAATCAGGCGGTTAAAAAATAAAGTTTGTTAGTGTCCGCTTCGAATTTCAAAGACAACAAGAGAAAGAGGCAATTGTTCATGTGACAAATTAACTTTCATTCACTAAATCGTAGATCTCGTCTAGACAGGGACATTTATCGATAGTTCGAAGTACATTATATAAAGAAATTTGTTTTCGTTCGGCTTGAGATACAGGAAAACATTGTAGTTTTAGCACACCTACTAGTTACATGATAGTAATTATTAAGACATCGAGTGCGTGAGAAATCTCTTTTACTTATCTAGATATTTATACGTATCTTTCATGGTACTCTCTTATCAAAAAACTGATTATACGAATATGTGTTTATTTAAATTATTCGTTATATTAGCCAAGATACGAAATGAATATCACGAACAACATCTTATTGAAATATGATTCGTCTGTTTTGACTGAGTCAAACTTTCGTAGGTTCTAAACATGTCGAAATTATTGGTGCATTCTATTACACGTGATCTTCATTGTTTTTCTTTTCGTTCGCTAATAACTATGTTCGAATGTGATCGTCATACATGTGTTTTCATTGCTCCTCGATAATAGCTATAGTATTCGCTGAAACTAAAATGAACTGTTCTGCCGCCTATTTTTTTTTCTTCTTTCTTCCCCATCTTCTCGCTTGTTACTATATTTTATTTCTGTTTATTCTAACGGTTAAGCAACACATCGTGAAAATGCAATACGAACAAGGTAGCGAAAAAGTTGTCCCTATGGCTAGTCCTTACAAATCTGTTTCGCAACCGTTGTCATTGGCTGAAGATTTTGAAATACGACGAACTCGCAAAATTCTTCTAATTATGCTTGGTGTTTGTCTCGTAAGTTTCGATTTTTATGATTATCATAAGACACCAAGCTTTGGTTTCATGCAATCATTACAATAACGCATTTCATATTAATCTAAACATCATAGAACTTAAAACAAAACATCTTAATCCAAGTTTCTCAGTCGAATATTACTTAGGCACGCAGAGCAGTTTTCCACAATAAATCATATGCATTGAAAAAAAATCTATTTTTCATTAATATTTTATATGTATTAACATTTTAGGGTCTCGCTGTAATTGGTGCAGCTGGCGCAATTGGTGCGATTGCCGGCCATTACATAACGAATAGTACCGAATACACAACATATCGTGCATCGATTGTTCAATCTTTTAGTTCAATTGTTTTTTTCGGCTTTGGATATTTAGTCACTCATCGATACTCTCGAATAGGTTTACAAGTGGTATGTAATAACTGTAATGCCGTTTTTTTTGTTTGTATATATGTAGCATCTTTTACAATTAGTTGATTCCTAAATTCATGTTATCTCCACAAATATCCTGGTAAAGCAAAGTCGAAATCGAATTGAAACAAAAAAAAAGATTTTCACCGGATAAAACCTTGTCAAATTTTTACATGCTAATCAATTTTTTTCTATTTCGGGATTTAAAATGAATAATATACGAGCCTGAAAACGAATAGATTGCCTCTACAATTTAAGTAAATGGTTAGAAGAAAAACTAACTTTGATAAAATATGATATTCTGAAATTGAATCTTGTCGATTTTCATTTGAAAGTCCGGCTTAATAAAAGTAGCATACACAATCTGACAGTGTTTGAAACATCCCTCTGTTGTTTTAAGTTTATTCGCTGTGAAAATAATTCGAGTACAATCCAAACACCTTCAACAAAGGTAGACACGAAAGTTAATGATTTTTCGTAGTTGTTAATTGAGTTGGTCAGAATAGCTTATGCACCAAATAAATTAAAAAAGACAACATTAAAAGTGCTTTGATTGCATGTAAATAGGAATGAAGATGAAAGTCGACAAGGAGATGTGCTTTCAGCATGTATTCTCTAGATACAGAAAAAAAATACAGTCGGGAATTACTTTTGTTTCAGGTGCATATGTATTCATATATGATAGTTGCTCGAAAAGAAATGACATAACACACTTGATAAATACTCTCTCAATAAAATATCTACATTAAACCGTGTTCACTTCTGACTTTTAGTTTGCTTGGATAAGTATCATTGAATTGGTTATTGGTGGCATTGCTTTAGTGCTTCTGGTTGTTTTCAGTTTGGTATTTTTAACTATTACAAACTCAACTCATAATTATAACAGCTGGGATATTATGGTTCCCCTATCAATATTTGTCTACATTATGATTGTTTTTGTTATCGCAGCTTGTATTCTTCGAGTAAATCTTTTATTTTTTTGGCCTTCAATTATTCTAATTTTTATTTCACATCTTAGATTGTGATTGTAAAGTTTGCGTTCAAATTGGCAAGACTTATTGAAACAAGAAAATCTTCATTTTGTCAACACATCTAACTGTTTGGTTTGTTTTCATATATCGATCATGTTAACTTCTGTTCGAGATTTGTGTGATTTCTCATTTATTCTCTATCTCTCACTGTTTGGAAGCTTTCTAAATAAATCTCAAAGTGTTTACCTAAACCGATTGCTATACTCATACAAAAAGTAAACATATTCTGATGATTGTCGAGAAGTTATCTTGTTCATTGATTTACTGAGAACAAATGATTTATGTTTGTTACTAGAAAGAAACCCGAATCCATACTGAAGCTACTGATAAAATTGCATTTGGCATCTATCTAGTTATTAGACAGAATTTTTCAGGTTTCTGTCATTCGAAATATCTTTCAGATAAATCACGATTTAGGATATCGGCAAGATGAAACGAAGATTCATATTCATCTGTTTGTTCTATCTTATATGAAATCAGATGGTGGCTTTTTCATGTTTTAATTCCTTAACATAGTGTAATTCGTTAGATATTCATTGACAATTATACAGTTGCGGACGAATATGAATAGCTGAATAAAACTCAGAAACCTTGCTATTTTCTCACAATGTGTTGAATTCAATGTGCGAAAAGATGATATTATGTCCTGTGCTCGAACAATTCATAGAATAAAAAGATATTGTTAAAACTTAAGACCGATTTCTCCTTTTTTCAAATTTAGTTATCTCGCTTCCCTCTATGCGTGTATTTTCAGAGCAATATTTTCGACAAACAAATCTAGGGTACTAGAAATTTTGCTTAACGTTCGGAAACATGATTTCATCTCAAAATAAATTATAGTTTACTCTCACGTTAGAGAATTTCACTTCCATGTTTCTACGCATTACTTCTTTTGAAACAAAATCTTAGAGACAAATGTACTGTAAATTTATTCGATCTAAAAATTCTTTATTCATACAATGAATGACAATGTAGGAGCGTGTGAAAAATTGAGAACTTCACAAAAATAGGAAAGGTCTATGTTTTATTATTTCAGATTCTAAAAAATAGCAGAAAACAGGCATAAAACAAATTCTTTTTTGAAGGACTAAGATAAAAAAAGGAAAAAAAATCCCTCTTTCTATTCAGAGCTCTGCTCTGACCTATGTAATCATTTTGATATTTGAGCGTTGAATTCAACATATTTAAGAAATGCCATGTTCTATTTTCTTCCATCATTAGTTGTTGTCAACTGTTGATTCATTGTGTACTATCGACAATTGAAAACATGATTATATTATTGCTGCTTTTAATAGAAATCATTAATAATGAGAGCTCCGAAATATTCATTTTTAATTTGTACGAAATATGTTTCAAAAATTTGCAACACAAAAAGTAAATATCTACTGTTACATTTTATGATATTTGGAGAAATAATAAAATATTCTCTAGTATTATATCTACTTAATCATACGGTTGAATGGTAGATTTAAGTAACCGGTTGGCACATCAGTTCTGCACGTTTTTTTTTGGTTCAACAATAAATTTATTTTTCAACAAAGATGTACAAACATCAATCAGCAATATAATCGCCATTGTTTTCAACAACATTCGCCGATCTTTCTGGCAATAGTTCAATTCCACATCTGTAGAAACTAGTAGGTTTTGATTCGAAAAAGGCAGTCAGGTCGGATTTTAGCCCATCAAAGTCTTCATAGTGTTTATTGCACCAATAGTTACGAAGAGATAGGAACAAATGATAATCGCTTGGTGAGAACCTTGGTGGCCACGGTGGGCGTGGGAGAACTTTCCATCCGAATTACGTCGTAAGCAGAAAAGATCAAGGTCAATATCGATGTTTGTTTGATCTCTCGAGAGAACAGAAATAAATGTATAGTAGTGAGATAAAAGAAAATAGAAGAACGAGAGAAATACATAGTAGCTTCAAAAATTATTCATACACCTTGTATGATTTTGTTGTTTTTTCTCTTGTTTACGAAGCACCTGAGAGAGGGTCGTGAATGTTTCACTAAACAATAGTTTATCAGCACTATTACATATGGCGTCGTTTTCACCTCATACTAATATATGTTGGCTAGTTTATGAGAAAAACATTAAGAATATCTGGAATTTAAGGTTACAAAAATTATTCATGCACCAACGAAAATTCATTTGTTTCTTATCGACATTTGTCGATCAGAAGAGATATCGATGCTATTACTTTTCTCAAGCCTTACAGCATTCAATCGCACCTCAATCATGCGTCGAGTAATCCAAAAGAAATTTTATTATGAAGAATAGCCTTCTAGACAAGACTTTTTAATTTTTTACAGTTACTATAGGTCTTCTTTGCAGAAATATTCTCATATTTTGCTCTATTAAAGAACAAATGATCTTTTTCAATCAAAATACGATGTTTAGATATGATTTGAGCGCAATATATTCGATTAATTAATTAAATCAGTCATCATAGTGAAGAATATTACTAGATTACAGAAAAAAACGATGCACCCAGAAAACGTTTTCGTGATCTGGCACTAGAACACGCTTCATATTTGAAGAAAGCGAGTCGAATTATATCAGAAATACACGTTGCTGACAATACTAAATAATGTTCATCGTAGGTGTATACGATCGAATTTTATTCACCGTACTCAATCACTCACAGAAAATGCAATTATTAATGAAAGTCATGTTTGATA